TGCTTGGGGACATCAACATGATTCCGCGCCAGTTCTTGCAGAGCCTTAGGTCCCCCTTCTTTAGGAGTTTGAAAAGGTAGCCCTTCTTTCAATCGGCAGGTATCTTTTCTTCCTTTCTTCCTTCCAAACCTTTTGCAGTAGTAGTGTGGGCGTGTTCGCTGTTGTCTCTGCGTCTGTTTTCAGGGCTTCTGGTGGAATTCCATCTGGTCACGCTACTTTCCTGGATTTCAGCAGCTTTATGGCATTCAGGACTTCACCTCTGCTTCTGTCCGAGGGCCTGTATTCACTGACAGTTCTGCGACCGGGCTGCTAGTGGTATCTCTGGGCGAGGTACAGACGGTGACAGATTCAAGAGCTTTTGGCGTGGTCGCCCTATCGTTTCCTTTGTTTCTCTCCTTTGGTAACTAGGTTTCCTTCACTATCTCTCCTTGGTTTCATCTGCGTTGATCTCTTCTCGGATAGTAACCTGGTTATTTGGTATAATGTTGCCATGTCTCTTCCACCTGCAGCAGCCTGTCTGCTTCATTTGCAAGTATGTCGTAGAGGTGTCTGTTCCCTTTGAGCGCACCCCTTTTCACTTCTTTGTCCAGTGTTTTGTGTGTTGTACTTACCTCTTCTTTTCGCTGTGCGTCCTTGCACCGGTTCATCTTCTGCTCCACCATCTTCCTCTCCATCCTCTATCAGCCTCCTTGTGTCCGTCGAGACTCATTTCCTGTCTCGTTTTCTCTTCCTTCATAATGCGATTATGCAGGTTTCTCTCCAAATGGCTTTCAGAGTTCCACGCAGGTTTCCTCAGGGATGTTGCTCAATGTCTCCCATTTTGTTCTGATGACTGATGTGAGGAGTTCATTTGTAGTTTTGTCCTTCAGTTTCCGGGTGTTGAACTTGAACTGTGATCTACCGCCAACGTCTTTCAAGGCCATTAACTTGATTTTTAAGGCAGGTTCCCTGCACTGGACAGTGAGTGATGTGAACCTACATCCGCTCCACTTCTAGACCCGATCTCGTGCGCAGTAGGCTGCGTCTCCACCTCCTTCACATTGAGATGAGGTCAATCTGATTTTTAGTGTAGTGTCCGTCCGACAAAATCCATGTCGCCTTGTGAATATCCTTGTGTTTATACACGCCATCTCCAGTCACTATTTCATCAAGTGCAAAGTCTGTAAACATTTCTCCATCCACGTTCATTTTACCAAACGCTTCTGGACTCATGGTTGGTTCTCTTCCTCTGTTGTCCGCCCCCATTTCGGGATTTACGTCAGCCGTTAGAATGAATCCTGAAGTCATCAAGTGGGGTGGGGTCTTGTCCAGTACCGATTTAAGTTTTCTGTAGAATTCCTCCTTCTCCTCTCGACCTGAGTTATTTTCAGGTGCGTGGTGTGGCACTGTATGATTGTAACTATCCTTCCTCTTGGGTTGAATCTTGCTGCCATGATCCTGATCCTGGAGGAGGAGATTGGTTCCCACCGTATGAGGGCCTTCAAGGCTCTTGGAGACATCATGGTAGCCGCTCGAAAATTCAGTGTGCTCGTGGTTGTCGCCTGGGTGACAATATCGGAGTAGATTACTGACTCTGTGGCTGACAGTTTGGAGGGTCCACTTCTATCTACTCTCGAAGATTCCTGGCTCATCCATGCCATACCTTCTCATCTCTTCTGCAATCTGGGAAACCTTGTGAGGTTCATACATGGTGCGGACATTCCATGTCCCCATGTTTACTTTTGCTTTCTTTAAGAGGAGACACATCGGCCAATTGGCTTCTCGAAGGCTTCCACAAACCGGCGTCATTTCCTTTCTCCAATTCCAGCGAGGGTAGGGTTGCTAGCCCTATGCGTAACTATCTCCGTTTATCCGGGCTTGGGGCGGCTAGTAACTAATGGGCCAGTTTACCAGGCGAGGCTGCTTTGTGCATGGACACTTGTATTTGGTAGGTCCTTCATCCTATTCTTACCTTTTCACATACTCACACAAATACTTTGATAGACACACAACGTCCCCACTGGCCATCTCACTTACGTACACTGCTGCAGTAATAGTGGCAAGAACTTTTCTGCGGCCCCGAGTGTCGATATTTGGTGTTGCTTTAATGATAACCTTCAGCGAGGGCAACGTCCGAAAACAAGCTAGGCAATGGCTTGACTAAATTCCCTGGTTTACACAGAATGTATTTTAGAACATACCATCTACAGGCCAACGGCTTGGTGGAAAGATTTCACCGACAGCTTAAGACAACCCTGATGCCATATTCCGGCCTTGTTCACTGAACAGAATACCCTCTCGTGGTAATGTTCAGAATTCTTAAAAGGATCAAAAACAACCGTCAGTGTTGAGCGACCGAATTAGTTCCCGGCACCAACCTAGGAGTCTCTCGCTAGTTCACCCCCCTTAGTGCTGAAGGCGAAAAAATTGACAGACTAGACATCTTGTGGCTGACTTGAAGTCAGTTGAAACCCATGAGCAGGCACGGAGAACTCGCTTCCGCAAGGAAACTAAGCACCAAGACTAAAAAGCCGAAAACGAAACAACCTATTTCGACGGTGTGCTTTATTTTTAGTTGAGTGTCTGTCCCATTTTAATCTGAACTCAAAACGTCAAGAATAAAGGCCGTTTGACCCGCAAACGCTCAAACTTCGAACACCAAAGTTATCGTCGTTCAGAGGACTTCTTGTTAACCTTCTGTTGGTTGAGTCATATCACAGTATGGAGGGCGGAAACTTGAAGTCAGTGCTCAGCATCAGTAACTTTGGTTTATGGGATAAGATCCGTTATAGTTTGTGCAAGACCACCAGTGTTAAACCTTAAGAAGCCTATTTTCAAGGGCTAAAGATGTGTCCGGACGTCTATGGGGGGAGCATCAAGACACACCCGGCCACACTTTCATGTACCAAACTGAAGTTTCCAATTAGTGGACTACGTGAGTACCATGTCAAGCTGCCTTCGTACTAATGCTTGGAACTGGAACGGATCAACATGGGTGAACGTGTACGCAGGGGTTTGCATAAGCAAAGAAGCTGCAAATGCTATTGACATATTAGGTAAACAGAAGGGGATCCGATACCCTGACCTGAGCTGGGCTAGAGGCAAGTGGTGAAGGCTTCGAAGTGTGAGTCTGCGCTTACTGCTCAGACGCGATTATCGGGGGGAGGTTTAATCCGTCATTATAGTGGACAGTCAGGCCCTAGAGACCGTGACTCGCCTGTCGACAGTAAGCGGTCAACTGCGTCAACATTTTCACTGGTTTGCAATGCCAGATTGTAGTTTCAGATACACTCCGAATTTCTGACAAGAAAGACGAAAGATACAAACATCTTTGACTGGTATGGAAATAGGGAAACCCACCATACTGATCTCTTCCTGATGTTCTGCAGATTGACCTCACTCTTTGTTCACTTTCGTTACTAGGGGTCATTGAGAAGGTGAACTCTGATGTCGGCGATTTATTTTCCGAGAAGGCTTCTTGACTAAACGTGAAAACTTAGGGAATCAGTCGCCTAGACAGTGTGGATCAATGAAAGACTGCGGATAATTTCGCTGTTGCATTTGAAGAATGTTGAAACACTTTCAAGAAAAGGTGACAAACATGTAACGAAACACTCCTAACACAAATGCAAGCGTAAAGTGTCCCACAGACGCGCTTTCTGATAGTGCCAGGAGCTGCTCATCATCGGTCGAGACGTTTGTTAACTGTACTGGTTACAAAGCTTGTTAAGCGATCTAATTGTTTTAGGCGAAATAGTGGAAAGTGCTTGGAGGCTTATTGGCTTTAGTCCCCTAAAGTGGCCCAGAACGTGTTACTGGAGGGTTCCTGTCGGGAGCAATATGAGCCAGCGTCGATGTAGAAGGTCAGTGACCAAGAGGTTATTGAGTTCTGGGATCTGCTGGCTGTAATACATCTTTCTACTACCTCCGCACTAAGTGTCACACAACTACCCCCTAAATGACCTTGCTTACTGTTCAGATTTATTGGAGGCATTTCAATTTCAGTGCGGACATTTTTGAGATAACTGACCAGCCTGAAAATCGTCGTATTTTGGTCACAACCAGGTCAAGTCCTTTCCGCTGACGACATTAAAATTTGGAGGGTGGTAACTGAGGGGGTTAGACGATGAGCACTCAGAAACGACCTACGGTGACTGAACCTTTGATTGTCGGGAAACTTCTTGAGGTTCGACGTGGAAAATTGCTCAGTGGTGCCCATCAAGGTCCACGAAACAAGGACACTCGGTAGCAAATACAAGATGAGCAACCCTGCTATTACAAAAGCGTCCACGGGGAGGGACCGAGGCCTGATTTCCCCCTAAGTTCTGAACACTAGCCCCACTTGTTGAGCTCTGAAATACGACTCCAAATTTTATACGCGTCCAGACACATTATCGCCTGTTTGTTATTTCCGACACTTCTGATTCACCTGCGTCAGACAGTGTAAATGTCAGGAGTTAATATGAAGTATATGTCAAGATATTGTATTGGCCAACGAGCAGGCAAAAGCTTTTAAATCAGTACAACTTAACAAAATGTTCAATTACCAGTTGTTGGATATATCAACACAAAACTGTGAATTAAAATGCTACGCAGTTAACAAGTAATAAGAGACAGATGGAACTCTTTTTTGCACCAGCTGATCTTAGGGAATTAATTGTCTCTAAGCGAGTATACGGACAGGAATCAGGAATTTCAATTAATCTTCCCAGCATCCTGTAGCTTCCCAACCATGTCAGTCTACAAGTTAAAAGTAGGAACCGGAATCATTTAGTTAACGTGAGCTGGAAAAAAGATATTGACTTTTGGAACCCATAAAGCATTAATTTACTCAGAGCTAAAAGCAGGGGAATTTCCTGCTTTCAAGATGTTTCTTTACAGACTACAAGAATCAGCTGAACATCACGGACCAAACCCCAAGAACTAGATATTACAAAATGCCAGTTTCCAACGTTTGCAGTATTGAGGTTGTATGCTGGAAGTCATCTGTTATTGAGCATGGTAATAACGCATGTTCTCAACAGACACGCTACAACCGGTAGGTCAGCTGCGTTGATGTAGTATTGTTTATTGACTCCTGTTATGACGTGATGTAAATACCTCTGTATATCATTTTTGAAATCAGGAATGTGCAATTTATTTCTGTTATGCAGTGAACCAATCACTTCTGAAGTAAAGTAGGAATAACTGGTTGAAAGGAGTTCGGAAAAATAAGTAATAAAGAATATTATGGTGTTGACTTGCTTCCATTTATTTTGAAGACCTGGTATTCTAGAATGCCAGCTTGATGTAGGCTTGTCGGGTAAGCAAAAATGCGGCCGTAGTGGAAATCATGTGCGCAGCTAAGGTACAGCTCACGTGAACAGTTTTATAATACTGCCTATAGTGTGTAAGTATGAATTGAGATTTCTTGGCTGACTGAAACTTGATATCCTAACCAATAATATTGATTACCACCGAGGAATAATCATTCTATATTGCATCTTCATTGGTATTTGATGCCATATGTTCTGTTTTGTCAATGGAAGTGTTTGTACATGGTTATCAGTCTTTGAAACATAAGTTGGTCATTTATTAATCTTCACAACTTGGGCTAATGCACTGAGTTACTGGTAACTTTGCCGTCTTGTTTGCTATCTTGTTTCCTTGACAATTGCTTTTGTACCTATGCAAACTAGAAACCCATTGCTCTTTGACTTAGAAGTTGGCCAAGCTATCTGAGATCACATGGTTTTCTTTCGCTAAGTTCGTTTAAATGTGATCTTTGTTAATTTTAACTGTAAAGTGATCAATATTAAAAGACCATTAGGTTATGGAATGTGAAAGACGTACCCACTTATTCCAAAGCTAGGTGGTAGGGATATTAAGACTGCTTCTAAAACAACTTGCGGCAGCTTGATTATTATGCAGATAAAGGCCTTCCGAGTTTCGCTGATTATTGAAAGGCTGTAAATGATCTGAAACACGGAAGGACAGTGGTTGCTGATGGATTGTACTAGAGATATTCAATGACGATGACCCAGGAATATTGGTTTGATTTACCAAGGTACTACTTGGTGCACGAAAGTCAGGCACGTCTCATCCTTCCTGGTCTCATTCGTGGATCTCTCGAACCTTTAAGAAAGAACGACTCCTGTGATGACCATCATTAAGTCAACTTAGCTAGCACAGTCTCCAAAAAATTACCTTCCATGGTCACGTGAAGCCTAGTCTGGGGTGGATGGTGGGAAACAGTCGGAGATGCTAGATACCTTCCACACCTGATCTTCGGTATTTTCGCTAGATCTTTGTCCCCGATTGGACTCCAGGACTTGCATACTTGTCAGCGGTTGGTGTTATTAGCCTTAACACGGTATTCGGTTGCGTCGGTTGAGATCATGTGTCAAATGTTAAGATCGATTATTTAAGCATTGTTTTCAATTCAGTAGTGTGAGCTGAAAAGAGGAAATCAGTGCCCCGCTTTGCAGCTTCCCACCACAAATTAGTCTTCATTGTTGTTATAAGTGTAGATGAAGCAAACTCTGGCTTGAAAAAGCTGTATTCTAATCGTATTTTTCATCTAAGAATATGAAGCCATTAATATAAGTGAAAAACTTGGGCACTGTGGTAGAATGTAATTCCATATTAGATTTGTTTATTTGATATAAAGCGCACAGTGATACAGTATTATTTACTTGATTTTGCTGACATGTTCTATTGCCCTTTCGATTTTGTCAGTATATATTGGTATTCGTATGCGAAGATATTTAAGGATAATTTGATTTTTCATGCGACGAATATTGAAAATACGATGATTTGTGAAACGTGCTTCAGTTTGTGAAAGTCGTGTGAGTTTATTGACTAGCCTGTATCACTGTGCGCTTTATATCAAATAAACAAATCTAATATGAGACCATTAAGTTTGGTGACGGATCAATAACTTTAAAAGTTACAGTTTGAGGATGCATTCACTTAAAATTGGACGTATAAGAACTCACCGATCTGTTTTTCCTCCTGTTGATGGTTTCACCACCTATCCTGACCTCAACGTACCAGCACGCTGTTCTCTTAAGTCCACACAAGCAGTTAAATTACCACTAATACGGAATAGCTATTGCTACATTGACTTGGTGGTCAGGCTTATTTAATGCATTTACCCAACGGTCTATGTTGGCTGAAAGTATCGCTCCTTGAAGTCTTACCTTGTCAAGATCTGTTGGATAAACTTAAATCAGTTGTCGTTGTAGTGCAGAGTTGCAGCTCAGTGGTTTAGGGAGATGACTGTCAACTAGTGGATCATGGGTTCAAGCCCCCACTTTGCCTACCAAGGTTTGGGCAGCCAGGTAGTATCACTAGCCCGCACACAATAGGTGTAGTCCATTGCTAACTGCACGAATGTGCACAAGGTTGATGAATGCACTTGTCTCTCCGCTACCGTTATAGTGCAAATAGCTTACGCTATGATGATTTCGAGGGTAATGTCATACTGCCGTCTGGCCGGATGTGAAAGCAATAAGATGTTTCCTTGCGATAACCAGCTGCACATGCTGATGTTGTGTTCCATAGGAGGAGAGAGGTTAGGAAATAATGGCTCGGAAAATATCACACCTACCATCCATGCGGTCATCCCACAACAGTGGTATGATTTTCCGGCTGTATTTAACCCAGTCAAGGTTCGATCTCAAACTCTCATAATAGCCGTTTGTGACCGACCTCAAGCAGATATCCTTTGGTCTCTGCTGTCATGTCTCATCCCTTCGCAGGCTGTCGGCACTCAGGTTTCTTCAGGTCATCATCAGCTTTCAGCTTTACTCTTATGGTTCATCACATCTTTTGGTCAATATTCCTACGTCATCTTTAATTTCCTCTAGCTCTGCGGCCGTTGATAGTGATTCGAGTTCAAAAAACAGTTTCCGTTCTCTTAAAACTGCGCCTAAAGCTACGCATCGGAGCTATCGATAGTCTGTATCTTCCAACAAAGTGGACATTGGCATCTCAGGCTATGGATATGTGCTCTGTTTGTGAGACACGTATGGGACCCGAATGTGGTTATCCAGTTGACCTCATTCAGTCACTATGACAAGTTCAAGAGATTCACCCTTCGTGCTTCTGGGGACTTAAGGACTCGCTCTCAGGGTCCTGTGGGTGTGAGTACATCAGAAAATGTACTGCTTGACTGAATCTCAATTAACAGTCTCCTGTGCATTGTTTGACTGAATAGTGCATTACATAGAAAAAGAAATGTGCATCCATTTTGTAACTTTGTGCATATTCGCGCAGTCGTCAAGGAGCCACACATTTTGTGAGATGTAGTGATATTACTTGGCTGCTCAAAACTTAATAGCTGGGTTTGAACCAGCTACCCATCGTTTCTAAATCAAGTGCTTAGACCAGTGAACCACAGCTCCACGGTGGCGCACTGAGAACTAAAAAGAACAGGGAAACTCACCGCTGTCACTTTTAACCTTTGCGTACGCACTTACTGACTGTAGTTAGAATAAAATAGAGGACAAATTCTACCGAAACCCGTCTATCTTCTTACCGAAATTCGAACATTCAGACGTGGTTGTCATAGCAGGTGATTTCAATGCGGAAGTTAGTAGGTTAAGTCTGTCAGAATGGCACTTGGTTGGCACTTTTGGGGACCCGAGCTAAACAAACAGATAACGGCGATTGCCTGCTACTACTGTACATGGACAAGCACATATTTCTGGCCAAAACGAGTTTCACTTACAAGAGAGACATCGTTTGGCGTGCCGTGCACTGACCTCAAATCAGTGGTTGGTCACAGATGGAACGTATCACAATCAGTTATACCTGGAAAGGGTCCGTTGAAGGTTGTTGCTCCTTCCGTAGCACGTTGTTGGAAAGCCATGGCGCACCGGTTAGAGTACTCATATGTCTACGCCAAAGTAGGTATGGGGAAGCTATAACTGGATGACGAGATCTCGGCACGGATAAAAAAGGTTAAGTTGTTGTATTCACCAACTTGTGCCACATTTTGTGTCATGGTGAGGTGCGATTACCCACTAACGGTTGACTGTTTACTGAAGGTAAAGGACATAAAATGCTGATTGTGTTCGGCCACAGTTGTTTAGTATCACTACTTCTGTATCGTTGAAGCACTACATCAGTTTAGGTGTAGTGTTAGGTAAAAGAGGTAAGTCGGTTGATGCTTTGAACCATCGACTGAATTTCTTGGGAGATATATAACGCATGTCTGGTCATCGTCTCTCTTGATATAAGAGATTCTAGCTGGTGGGTGAAGGCTATAAAAAGAGCAGTTAGACTGAGAAATAGCACCGTGAAGTCCCTAGCTGTAGGTTTGGGCAGTGTAAGGAAATGTGAAATTCCTTGTTAAGATCCGCGTAACAACCGAAATTCGGTGTTGAAAACTTTGGTTTGTATGGCTCAGAATTGATCTTAATGGTGCAAATACATCCACATATTGTCTTAACGCCAACCATCATATCATATTTTATTATTGTCTTCAACCACTCTTGTTCTCTTGTGACTTTCTGTAAAATCCTATTACGCTTTTTTTCTTATTCCGCTACCTTTCATCTCGCTGCCTTGGTGTGCTGATAATTAATCATCGCTAAGTCAGATAGACAGATCGACTTGGTAGTGAATCGGATGCTTTCAAATGGTCAAACTTGATAGCTTTATACAAGGAATAGGTCAACTGGCTCTCAGTTAGCATTTATAGCTGTTTGTACTAAGTGAAGTCTTTCTTTAAATCTGAATGTAGTTAGTTGTTGGAAATGTACAACCTTTCCTGATTTTCAGCGAAGTGATCGCTGACATAAACATACGAAATCTAGTTCATGATATTCAACAGTAACACGCTTCCAGGAAACTATTATGTTCCTCAAAGTCATACGTGTAGGTCAGGATTCGAATAGATCGAAAACTGTTATCATTGGGACCTGCGTACATACTTGCTAAGTTTGTCTTAAACTTACCCTTAAAGTTGGTAAATATATGATACGATAGGCAGTCAAGAGCTGTGGGTGTTAGACCCATGGCAGTCAGTAATTGACCTTCATTTTCCTATAACTTCATTAAGGATGAAAGCACAACGACTTCACAGCATAAGAGTGCACATAAGTGCATCCATTTAAGATGCTACACTTCATAACTATTGACTTCTAGCATACCCATAATCACAATCAATGGACCCTAGAAACGCTTAAGTATAAAATAAGTGTCAAATTATCCTGAAACTAAGCATATGCTTCAATCCATTCTCTACCGTTTTAAGTCGTTTTGGTGCAAAATTATTAAGGAATTCAGTTCAATAATAGTAGTAAGTTTGCGACCAAGTTAGTTGGGAGTTGTTGATCATTGGTATAGTCATTTGACCCTCTAGCAGTGGGTCTCAGGTTCGAAACCCACTCCATCATCTGTGGCTTGGGCAACTAGATAGTATAGTAAGCCCTTACATACAACAAGTGTAGCTCATAGCCCGGAGCATAAATAAATGTAACAGTTTGGTACAATAGTTCTACCATTTCGCCAAGGTACAACCGAAGAGTTACAAAGAATCTTAAGGAAGCACTTAATCAGGACCTTTTACAAGATAACCAACACTCTGAGGAATGCTCTAGTCCACGTAAAAGATAAAGTTCCTTTAACCTTCACACAAAACTGTGTCGACAAATTAGGCTGTGTCCACTGTGATACTTATTGGAGAATCATCCCGTGAGATCCTCATTAGGACTAAAGAACATGCAAGCTACACAAAACGACCGCCAAATAATCCTATAGAACTAGAGAACCTACAAATCAAGTCGGCGATCGCAGTTCACGCCATCTATCACAGTCACAAAATCGATATTGAAAATATTAAAATTATTCAAAAGGGATTTTCAAACTACAAAGAAAGAAGAATAGCAGAGGCATTTCACATTATGTTGAATCCTAATACACTCAACAGAAAGGAAGGCCTACCTATTCAACCAACCTGAATAGTATTTCCAAAAACAACACATCACACACAATGATCTTATACTTTTACACCCAGTTACATGTACATATATTCATATCATCTTGAACTCCAGACTAATTAGCTGATAAACAAAAACAAATTATGAACGCTTCCTGATCAGCATAACGATGACATTCACGTTCATATTATCATCATATATAGACAGTGTGATCTGACTCGTCACCTTTTACTATTTAAACTATTCGATAACTTGTACAGGTTTTATTCTCTGATCAAGCGATTTTCACGAAGTCGCGAAACGTCAGAAATTTATTTTTCTACTTCATTGGGATTTTACAAAATACATTTCATTTGTAGTTTGAGTTGCATTATACTTTTTATCAGGTTGGGAATAGAATTACTTTATTTTCTGGTTTGTGACAAATATTTAGGACCGGTTTGTATGCATCCATTCTGACAGATTCATATGGAATCTGTTATATAAGTACATCTGTTCAAGTTGCCAAACTTACCAGGTTAATATAGAGAAGTAGATAGATAAAACTACAATAGTCAAAAGTGTGAGAGAAGGGAGAGTAAGTAGATGAAAGTTCACGAAAGTATTAAAATCTTCAAGGATGACAAAGAGTGTTTACATCTGGTCTATTGTGATCATGTCGTCAAGACCCCTCAACCTTCCACTTTCTATCGGCTCATAAAGCTTATACCTCCCTACTCGGCTTAGACCAATAACTGAAGACCTTATGAATTAGTGCCGCATATTGGTCTGGCCACTCAGCTTTCTTTCAGCCTAATCAGTGTAAGCTAATCTGACCAAAGGTCTCAAATCTATCGATGTTTGATGTAAATTTCTCTGATTATCTCGAGAAATTAGTATTCAATCATTCCGTATCTTTGTTCAGTTTTCAACTAGAAGTCTTCTTCTGGCCTATCTTTATAGGGTGGAAATTCTGAAATGCGAACCGAAATATCAACAAATTCCACACATATTTATAGTTTGGAAATTCGGTCAACCAGGCTAGCGACTTGTTCTCTACTTCGTACCAAGGGTCCCAGCGCTTAAGGTCAACCGTTCTTGATCGCTACCATCACGTCAGCACAAAGTCGAAGAGCCACAGTCCCCTAACAAAAGGGCACAGTGAGCAAATCAAGGACAGTTGATACTCCTAAATAAGGATATGGGTGTGATTCTTTTGAACCTAAATGTTTAAATAGGCAGAATGTCAGCTCCAGTCGGATGACAATAAATTCTCTAAACCTGTGGATGCGACTAGTCAGAAAAAAACTTAGTAACTTTTTTAAGCAGATAAAACAATGATTGCTGACAAGTGACGATTTCTACAAATGCATCAAACCAATGGGGTCAACAATATCTCATCTGTTCGGGTTGCCGAAAGCCCAACTCTTGAAATGTTTGGATACCCTTGCCATTCAGTTGTAGTGTAGCTGACCATACTCTTAAAGCCTATAAGAAGAAGAATTTCTGTGCACATCCTACGTGACGCTTTTAAATATGTTAACTGCATAAGAGACGTGAACTTTTGATATTATATGTTGAGTTGTTTTTCACCAATGTTCAGCATACTGAAACTATCTCTTCCCTATACAGATACTTAAAAAATAACAGCTAGACTATCAGAATACTAGGCCTCCTCCACTTTGAAGAGTTGTTACTTACCGACTTGATTTAAAGACAGGAAGGTGAGACTGCAGCGAAGTTCTCACTAGGTTCATTACGAACCCACTGTTCTTTGACCAGTTTGAAAAACGGACCATTAGAGTCGGTTATTGAATGGTTTTAAAATGTACGAAAGGTACACGGATGATACTTATGTTACCTATGGTGTGATCTGAATGATATTCTATAGGTATTTAACGGCCATCATCCAGTAGTCAGATTTACACTTGAGAAGACCGAAAATAGATCGAGGATTTTCTTTTTTGATATAGGTTGAAGAAGAAAAGCTGGTCAGAAGTTAAGGAGATCGATTTACAGCAAATCATTGTGAAATGACCAACTAATGAACTTTTATTGCTAAGTTATCAACAAAATAGTATCATATCTCTTGCCCCTCGCATTACACGAGTCTGCAGCTCCGATGTATTGGAAGACAAAATTTCTCTACTGAGAAAAGTGTTTATGGAAATCCAGTTCTTAAAGTGCCTCGTAGGTAGAATATTCAGTTAAAATCGTTCAAAGAGGATCCTAACTCTATGCTAAAAAGATGCTTAAATCTAATTTTCAAACGTGGTTCTGCTGCTGATAGTCTTAAGAAGAGGATATCAAACTATTTTTTTAGTATTCTTCTGTCACCCAGTGGTTTAATAACAACTTAAAGGACTAACTCTCATCTAATCACTTCTTTCTGTGTATACCCATCCACCTGCTCTTGTGGCACCAAGTATATAGGTCAGTAACACTATCCCATATGGCTACAAAGAGATAGTGAATCGGTTTGAAGTGCAATAATGGAATACGTCGTCAACACGCTTTACCGTATCTCGAAAACTTATTCGTACGTGGTCATTTAGTGGGTAAAAATCAACCTTCTGAAGGTTTCATATCTTCATTTTTTTGCACTGTTGAAGCTCACACTACCCATATTAAGAATCCTGAGCCTTTTATGTCAGAGAAAATTGTTCAACATCATTTCTTTTTAGTGTCTTAATTTAAATCATTTGCATGCACACTGTTCACTTGAGCAGTTTACCATTCTTTTTTGTCTTTACTTTCTTTATGGCAGCACTTGGATTTCTAAGTAGTATACCATACTGCGCAACTTATCTAAACTTCGTAGTCTTTATACAATTCCATTCATATTTTGACTAATTTTCACTACTCATCACAATTTTTGATTGGAATAACTGTTCATATATTGACATATTTTTGTTGTCCAGTTAGACAAACCACTATTAACTACCAAATATTAAGAAAAGCAAAATGCATAAGTGTTATTGTATAGCTCCGAGGATAAGATAACTGAGAAGAGTCTCTTCACTGAAGTACTTCTTCTTTAATCCTGCTTCAGCTAACGTTACCTGTTAAGGTAGGCGGTGGCTGGGAATATGGAGCACATGTCCAAACCATCTCAGTCAGTGAAGTTTCGCAACTCCATTAACTTACCTTCCTGGCCTAGTACTATACGCCTAACGTCAACGCTACTGACAGTGATTCCGCCACACAAGGAGTTCCATAAATACAATTGCGATCGGAAAAATCATAGTTTTCTTTTGCTTTCTTCTTTTAACACCCATATTTCACAAAGTCAATTATATCGCATTACATTTATCCTTTGATATGTATTCGGAGTAATTCCACTGATCATAAACAGACCTTTCCTTCAAATATCTCTGCTTTAATTAAGGGTTTTGTTACCCAATGATCAAAATTTTTATTCGTTTAAAATCCTTTGATATTATAATTTTTAGATTTTATTTCATATATCATCTCAATTTTTAAACTGGGAACTATTATTTTTTTAAGTGGTTGTATAGTAAACTGCTGAAACTATTTAGTAAGATTTCAAGAATGTATTGTGATCTATGTCTGACGGAATTCTCATTATTTAATAAACAAGTAAAGGAAAAATCTAAGTTAAATGGTCCGTAGAAAACTTGTAAAATTTGTGGTGCTGTACAGTGCTCAAGTTGCTTGAGGTTTAAAACAAAATCATCTGAACTGATATGCATGGACTGTCACTATGATAAGAAGAGGTAAACCTCTCTTTGACGTTCCTGTGCGATTGTTTATGTAGTTTGAATTATGATGGTGGAGACAAAGGCAAACTCGCTTCCTTAAGGTATTTTCTTCTCACATTCAATATTTTACTTATAGGGGTGTGACAGAAGCAAGAAAAAATTTTAGTAAAAGTTGTCAAGTTCTACCGGATTGTGGCATGAAAAAGTCAGAAGGTATATTCGTTTTATGTGTAAACCTTTTTAGATAGGAAGACTGATAATATTATGAAAAGGCTAGAGGCGCTTAAGGAGAATCGAGCTGAAGGTAAATTTTACATTTTTCAATATTTTGGCCCTAGCAAAAAAAGATGTCTGTGATTTGGAGTTTCGTTTACGACAGCTCAAGGGACTGTCGGAAGAAAAACCTTCATCTTCTAGCAACTCAAGATGCAAAGAAGACGAGGTTACTAGACTTGTGAATCAGGTTGGTGATACTTTCACCGGTCCTTTTGTTTACTGTTGTGTGTGAAGTTCATTTCGAAGTTGTAGTCACTTTTATTGGTTTGACATGATGTAGCTTGCGGACTATACGTCACGTGGAAGACTTTGCATAATCTGTGACTTGTCAAGTTTTTTCATCTTCACCATCAATAATAGGGGCTTTATTCACTATATTGGATTTGGAAACAGAGTAAAACAAGGTTGTAGCTGTGGCGTTGATAGTTGACTTTCGATCAGTGAGTTGCAGGTTTTGAAGGGCTCGCTACCCACAGAGGTCTTAGCAGTCAGATATAACCACAGGCCTTGTATAATAAGTGTGACTCATTGTTTAGTGCGTGAATCTACGCATACTCGCAAGGTTTCATTATTATTCATCAATCTCCTGATAGCTCTCCAACGTTTACTTGACACAGCTTATTCTTTTCCCACCAATTCAAGAAAGAATAGGGAGCTTGATAATGAAGAAGAAGAAAAGTACAGGATTTAATAAATTGCTAAAGTAGTAGTAATTTGTATCAAAAACACGTAAAATGCTTGGCATACGAAGTCTCCAGAGAATGATTAAACTGATGTTTGCTTTACTTGTTGCTCTATGCAAGTGTGTGTATATATACGTACGTAATATTATAACCTTGCCTATAATTTAGAACGTCGACGTGGTAAAAGCAAGCATCAACCAAGCAGGGAATTACCGATTGCAAACTTCTCCTCTCAATCTTCGGGTGAAACGTGAAGTTTCAGCTTATGCCACTAATGGAATACAGCAGTGAATGTTAATACTATCGGGTTGTGATTTTGATGTCAGACGTCGCCGGACAAAAGACTTTGAACATGCAGACGCACCTTTAAGACTTATTGGTGGGTATCCTACACCCGACGAAGACATAGTGATAGGATTAGTATCCTCGGTTCGCTTACTGGATTGTGTAGTCCACACGTTCCCTGTTACGACGGTTCTTATCGAAAGCGAACCACATAAGGATTAAGTCATGTATTATGTCCAGATGAAATGACTGCAGAGATCTTCTACCAGTGACCTGAAACAACTGTTTTTCAGAAGAGAGTTCCTTTGTATCATCAGGAATTGCCTCATGTTTGGAGAACGCGTAATAGTCCTCAAGTCTCTTTGCTTAAAAGTCCCGAAGCAGTTTCACACTGGTCATCCAGGAGTAAACCGCATGAAAGCTATCTGCGGAAGCTATGTTTATTGGCCCAACATGGATTTTTATATGGCTGAGTTCGTCGGTTGCTGCGCATCATGTCGAAAGGCAGTTAAGAATCTTCCACGTCTTCCATCAAGAAGTTGGCCAGAACCAGATTGCCAGGATTTATATCGATTTCGTGTGGCCATTACATAGAACGTATTATCTAGCTTTTGTTGGTGCTTATTCTAGGTGGCCGGAGGTCATCGCAGTATCGTCCTTATCATCTCATCAAACAGTTACTGCTCTTACAGATATTTTCTCCTGCCTTAGTTTGCCAGAGAACATTATTCCCGGGAATGGGTCATAATTCACCTCTTGCGAGTTCGCTGAGTTTCGCCGTGTAAATCCAATCGATCATATACACCGCCGCACCAACCACAATCTAATAGCCAGGGAGATAGATTTTTAGACATCTTTAAGCGGGCTCTACTGAATGCTATATAGGAGCAAGGTTCACTGATGTTATACAGCAGTTCTAATTCACCTGTCGCTCAGCATTTAGTGATGCTCTAACAGATCGCAGGTCAACTTGTAAGTGTCTGTGTACTAAGCGATGAGTTACACCTATTGTATGATGGCTATCGCTACTATCTGGCTTCAACGTCATAACTTATTGGTCGAAAGTCGACCATCTAAGACAAATACACATAACCTTACCCTAAGGAAATCCAGTTTTTCCTTTCTCTAAGGAAAAACTGCCATCCTAAGTGTTATATAGTGAACTTTTCATTCAAAGATGGAGCGTTAGTAACAAATATAAAACGCTGTTGCTCTTTACCAATGAACATTTTTTCATTTATTAACCTATATTACTTACTGTCACTCAAAATAAAGTAGATGTAGTCAATTCGAACTAATGACTTTATCAATGAGCTGAGTCCCTGTACTGCCACACTATAAGGGACTGATGAGTCTCCAATATAAAGAAAAGTATATCCTAGATTCCATTGTTAATCAGTACCTAAAACTATAAACCTGTAGCTTATTTCTTACACAGTCTACTCATTATCCCAAAAAGTTGATTATCTACATCATCATATTTTGCATTCACCACCTATCATCCTCAGCATATTGTGTTGTACTCATGACCTGTATGCGGGAAAATCCTAAAATAACATTCTGTTAACTACACACTAGAATAAGTAACCGAAATCGATACGTTAGCTGATAGCTTGGGCATTATTGACTCAAAATAAATGTACAGTGATTATCTTCAAAACCTAAATGAATAAATACCAAACGACTATTTTATTGGCCAACTAACTTTCTTCTTTCTTCTTCTTTCTTCTCATTTACATTCAATAGTTGGCCAGGTTATAAATGATCTGTTCGACATCTGCCAACTGGCTGAATCTGTATCTCAGTGTTCTGTTGTTTGTACTGAGACTCAAAAACCTAACTTTTAAATGCCTGGGTGTTATCCACTATCTACTTACTGAACCTCAGGACCTGCGTCCTCCTGTTCATGAAGTCCACATTACAACAGAGATCAATCATTTGGGTTTAGTAAACTAAACAATTGAAAATTATGGTTATGCACAAATTATCAAGTATCTTTTTTGTATACGACACCATTAAAGCATTTGATTGACAGTGGGGTGATAATTGCTTAGTCATTAGTCTAGGATCTAATGATTATGGTTTTCATAAGTTTGGCGGTATACTGCCTTTATCATTTCAACTGAGTGCTGGCAGAGTTGTGAAGGTGGTTGACACTTTCCGGCTGCCCATATCATGGAAGGCTAGGCCTTCTTAAGGCACCTGAAAAAGGAGGGTTAGTAGGTGGTCTCAGAGATTAGGGGACATTTGCTAGAGGCCGGCCACGTACGGCCTTTTTGATGCCACGACAATTGACCTGTATTATGGAAGGTGTGGTAGAAACACTGAAAACAGACGCAGAGACAACAACGGACATGCTCACACCACTACTGCAGAAGGTCTGGAAGGAAGGGAAGGTACCGGCAGATTGGAAAAAGGGCTATCTTGTCAAACTGCCGAAGAAGAGCGACCTAAGTGTTTGCAAGAACTGGTGCGGAATCACGCTCCTGTCCACCCCAATCAAAATACTAAGCCGCATCATCTTGAAGAGACTAAAGGATGCTCTGGATTCAAAACTACCACCGGAACAGGCTGGCTTCAGGAAGTACAAATCATGCGCAGACCAAATTGCAACGCTTTGCATCATCAGAGAACAGAGCACAGAATGGCAATCAGCTCTCTACCTCAACTTTATCGACTTTGAGAAGGCCCTTGACAGCGTTGACCGAGAGGTAATTTGGAAACTACTTCATTACTACGGAGTACCACAAACCTTCATCAGCCTCATTCAACAACTATATGAAGATGGCACATGCCAAGTAATTCACAATGGAAAGCAAAATGATGCCTTTGGAGTGAAGACAGAAGTAAAACAAAGCTACCTACTATCACCCATGATATTCTTGATTGTGGTCGACTGGATCATGCAACAAACAGTAGGGAGCGAGAAGAGAGGGATACGCTGGACCGCGGAAAAGATCCCAGAAGACTAGGATTTCGCCGATGACTTGTGTCTGATGTCACATAAACTGGAAGATCTACAGGCGAAAACTGACAAGTTGACAGAAGAGGCAGGCAGGGCAGCAAAGACAGGATTTCAAGTGAATAAAGAGAAGACAGAGGTGATGAAGATACCCAGCCAACAAGAACAACAAACTCCAATCACCATCAACGGGAGAAACTTAAAGGAAGTAGTCTCTTTCACCTATCTAGGCAGCACTGTTTCAACTGTAGGTGGTGGCACAGACGAGGACGTCGAAGGCAGCCAGGATCGGAAAAGCAAGACAGGCGTTCATTAGCCTGAAACCAGTGTGGAGATCTTCTGCACTCAGCATGTGGAACAAGATACGGATTTTCAACACCAACGTCAAGTCATTGCTCCTGTATGGTTGAGAGACTTGGCGCGTTACGAACTACAGACATTCATCAACAACTGCCTAGGCTGGCTCGTATACTGAAGATCAGATGGCCAGAATAATAAGAATAAGCAACAAGGAACTCTGGCTGGTGACGAACCAACCAAGAAGCTATCGCTCAACAAATATGCAGAAGAAGGAAGTGGAGATGGATTGGACTGGGCATACACTGAGAAGGCTGACTGGGGACATCACGCACCTGGGCAGTACCTCGAGTGGAACCCAGATAGGAAGCGACAAGTTGGGCGTTCGAGGTGAGGGTGACATGGAGGAGATCGTGAGAGGAGGAGATGAAAGCTTGTGGGCAGTCGTGGTGACAGGTTCAGAAGATTGCAGAGAAGAGAGTGCACTGGAGACGTGCTACTGAAGCCTTATGTTCCACTAGGAACCCAAGGGATAAATAAATAATAATAAATAATGGAAGGTGTGGTCGGACATACGTCCTGCGGTTTTGGATCACCACTAACCACTGATGACTGATTGAAGCCATGATGTATCATTTAATTGTTTAAGAATAAGTTAAGGGTAGGGGCAACTGCTTTTTTTCTAATCACTACTCAACAGATCTTTCTGGTGTAGTAGGACCTCGGGGGAACAAGCGTTCCACCGGCATACCTCGTTGGGTCATCGTGATATACAAGCTCGACCACTACGTCAAGGTAGCAGCTATCAGTCAAGTCATTGACTGTTCGTTTAAGCTATATAGGGCGATGCAGACTATCCAGTTGGGGTCCGTGAACCAAGAGAAACTAGTTGTTGCAGACTGTAGGCAATATGGTTGAGAATCGATGTCAGTGGCTCAGATGCAAACACACATTATCTTCATCTTAACTGCTGTATTTAATCTCATCATCTCATTCTTCCTCTCTCTGTTTTATTACGTTCTGCTTCCACTTCCTTTGACCGGTTTTTCTTTCCTTCTTTACCTTACATTTTATTGCCTTGTTACTTGATGTGTTGATATGAAGTGTGACAACTTAGACCATTACACAGTAATGCCTGGTCCTATGCTGATCTTGTTGATGATGATGGTCATTTAAATTTAAGTTCCATGGTATAGCTTTACAAACTAGCACGAAGAGGGAAAATAGGAATAATTAGTTATCATAGTCATATGCAAACTATATTCTTGTCATTGGCTCGTTCATTTTGGCAACACTGATAAAGATTTTTAAAAAAGTAAATAGGCTAAAGCTGCGTCAATAAGATTGTCTAGTTTTGTTTCTTACATCGTCCTGACTCTCATTTTATCTCTCGTGTAGCTATCAGTTCCTCAATTTATCATACTAGTCTTCTCATTCATCGGTTGTGAATAAACTCACTCACTCACTCACTCACTCACTCACTCACTCACTCACTCACTCACTCACTCACTCACTCACTCACTCACTCACTCACTCACTCACTCACTCACTCACTCACTCACTCACTCACTCACTCACTCACTCACTCACTCACTTTTTTTTCTGTATTCCTATCGATTCGTTTATTAGACAGTAGCTATTCTAAACTAGAGATGTTAACTCATTCTTTTTTTTCCATTTTCAGTATATGGAAGAGGTAGAAATCGATAAAAAGTGTGGCATAAATTTTGTTGAAAAAGAGCAACCAAGTGAAGTATTCACTGGTGAAGATGAAGATCCTTGGTGCTGCATGTGCGATGAGGATGCTGACACCGCTTGCCAAGAATGTGAAGATTATTTCTGCAAACGGTGTTTTAAGTATGTTTTTTTTACATAGATATAGGTACCTACCTATATAAGCTGGAAATGACGTTGCATAGGATTAATCACATAACTTATCACCTGTATCATATCAGTAGATCACTTTGGGTTCTGTTTACCCTAATTCAGTCCTATAGGAGGTCAGTCATGGGCTGAATAGCTCAGTGATGACCTCGCTGACTGCAACACTGGGTGATGTGGGTTCGAATCTCAAGTGGGCCAGCAATTCCGTCGGGGTTTCAGATTCGCTCTACTGACGATTGCCAACAAGCACAAAACATAAGTTTAGAGCTTCCTGCTGGTTTCCTCCAACCAACTAACATCTGTTTATCTATCTTCTCTTTAGACGAAAAACAAATCGTCTAACCACCAGACTCGACATTTTATAATGTTTTAGTGACAGATTAATTTCTGCTTGAGATATGGTACTTGGCTGCGACATTACCTAAGTTTAATACTCGTGTGTGTTTACCTTACATTTTAGTCTTTGAAAGATGGTAGCTGTTCAATAGCGTCTGACACTTTTATTTCAAGGTCATCAACCCATCTGTGTGTGTGTGTGTGTGTGTGTGTGTGGATGTAGGTTTGCATCGGTCGATAGCTGCAGCGTAATTAGTAGATAGATAAGCCTTGCGATGAAATCCAGCAACCGCAGTGACAATCGGCTTCATAACTTCGCATAGCATGATGGCAGGAAGTAACATTTGTCGAAGCATTTCGTGCCTAACTTGTCGGTAGCATGTGTTTTTTGAGTCAGTTATGATGTAATACTTTAAGTTAGTGTTGTTCCTTTTAGTAACCTATGTAAAACGTCACAGTGATTAGAATATTCCAGAATTATCTTCGGTCAGAGGTCATAAATATGTCAAAGGATTGAGCGCTGTTAGAATTTATTCACTTTACTGGTATAGAGAAGTGGTCATGCTTCTGTGTGAATGTCTTATGTAGAGTTGTGGTTCATTGGCTTAGGCGTTCGACTTTTGAGCAGTGAGTCGTAGGTACAAATCCTGTTCCCCTTACTTTGATCTCAGCAGTCGAGTAAGTGTGGTTCGTATCCTGTTGCTTAAACACATACATTGGGATGAGTTGTTGCTGTAACTTTAAAAAATTCTAATTGTCTTACAATATGGTGTTTGCTAATTTAGCGAGCAAACAATTACTAAATATCCCTTTTTACAGTAAATTACTTTTAACTTATACCATAATGCTGTTTTACTTAGGTATTTCTCATTATTAGGCATAATTACTTGAGGATACTGTTGGTTCATCCTAATTTTTTATTTATTCGTTCTCAAGTTGGGGTCTTTCAAACTTCTTGATGAATACATTTCTATGAGAAACTGATCGTGGTAAAATCAGAACCAATGTTTTCCAGATTGCCAATCTGACTATCCATCGTTTCGACTTCTAAGATGGTACTCATCATGGACTGACATCAGTTGGATAACCACTGAAAACACGGGAGCAATGGACAGCTGTTTCATTCCAGTACTGAACTCCTCAGCGGCCGGGCACTCGTGGCGCCACCAAAGACCAAACCCGGAACCTTCAGACTCTACGGTGAGCTGCTGGGTCAAAATCCGATTTTCCATATTTTCCTACTTCTGTCGATTCGCGACCATCCACTACCATTACTGAGTATTTGTTCTCACATCCGACTCGGTCGGACCATTATATTCCGGCCCAGAAGATCAGTGGTGGCGTGTTCGCCGCAAAACCTGAAGGTCTTGGATTCGGTCTATGGGGGTGGGTTGGTCATGGGTGCTCACTAAAAAGTTCAATACTAGGATGGAACAACTGTGGAGTGCTCCCAGGTTTTCAGTAGTTCCCCAAATGATGTCAGTTTGTTATGAATACCACCTTGAAGTCAATAAAAATCCACAAACCTTGAGACTGGATTCAATTTTCGATCGACTGAACTACTACAGTATCCAACGGCTGATTTTATTCTCTTTCATATTAAAAACAATGTACCACATCCAAAAGTCATCTCAGGTAGCTTGATCAGCAAGAATACGTTACTATTTAATGATTAAGATGTCGATATTAAAAAAACAACTATGTTCTAATGTCGTCCAAGTATCTCTTAATATTTTTGTCATTAAGCATGCTTTCCTTATGGTTAGCTTGAGTAATCTTATTGCTCACGCTTCTATAGTTGGAAGTCAATTGGTTAAGCGGATCACGACACGACTAATTACGTGTAGGCTTGTGTATCAGTTGGTAAGCTATATCTGGTTGTCTAAACTTTTGATAATTGAGATGAGATTTGAAACAGTAATCCACCAGTTGACGATCGAGTGTCTTATCCAGTAACCCTATGGTTCCACAGGTGCATATAGATCATACAGATTTTTCACCGAAGTGATTTTGTTTTAAATAGAAAACTATTAACAGTGTCTTAATATGCGGTCTTTTATTTCTCCTTTTCGGTTTTATAGTAAAACGCATACCAAACGAGAGAGAGTTGAACATAAAACTGTCGTTTGTAAACCATCAGCTCGTTGAAGTTGAATTGGGAAGATCTTATTGAAGCAAAGTTGAAATTCATTTGTTATTTTATCTTTCTGTTTTGTATATGCTTTTATTCATTTACTCGTAACATCCGCTTAGATTTTCGTTTCGTTTTGTTATTTATTTTATTCACATTACCAATGTAATATTGAAAGTAATGATCAGCTGAGGATTATGATATCAAGATTTTGCTATTGTATACTGATTTCTCACGTCATTCTGTTGATAGTATGCAGGTGATTGTGGAACTGATACCATCATGAGAATTATTTCATCTTGGTGATATGATGGATATACAGTGCTTATAATAAACAGGTGACATAAACTAGTGTTCTCGTATTCACAGTATGACTGATGAAGACTCTTGAATTTTTAAGTAGTTTCCTTTTATAAAAGTTGTATTACTGGCTTCCCATTAAATCATTGAACCATCGAGCTAGATATTTAATGTACGTAATAATAAATTTATCTCCGTGGAAATGTGTTTTTGCACACAATTAAATAAGAATTTGTGATTCATAGCTTCTGTTAATATATGTATATAGGATGCAACAGATCTGGAATTTCAGGAGTAGAGGGATTTGTCGGTAGACGTTCTGATTGTTGGTTCATTGACTTGGACATTCAACTTAAGACCAGTGAGCCACAAGATTGCAATCCACCTCATTTACTAAGGTTTAAGAAGATACATCGTGTTATGATCCCATGTCTTGATTTTGTCATCTGAATCAAACCAGATGAAATGCATCAATAAACAATTTGTTTCAATATCTGCGGGTAAAACAATATTTTGTTCAATGAAGGCGATAATCTGTACTTGTGATCGAATATTGGACATATTCCATTGTGTACATAGAATATTTCATTTTCTAGGATAGCCATAATTGGTATATACTGAAATATCTCCATAAGTATGTGCCAAAAGTCTAGACTAAATGGTGCACCGTTCTCCGTGTAAAATCTATGCGCTTTAGTCAGTCGGACACACTCATGTTTGCCTCTTGACAGGAATATTGACTTTAGATGGTACACCTAGTAAATCCTTAATCGTAAAAGTGTAGGCCACACTTAATATAATTACCGAGGAATAAATACCTTTTTCAGTGGGTATCCATAATAATTAAATAAACTCAACAAATGTCGGTATCGACGGTATATAGCACCGATAAAGTCAACTGTAGACAAACTGGCTCAGTCATTCAATAAAATATCTAGTAGAAATAATGCAATTTCTGGAACTTCTTTCTTGTTTATTTCAATATAAATCCCTTTCAATACTTGATTGTTAGTTAATGGCGGTATTTAATATAGTGCATTATCAATAACTTGACGTTTAAATTTATTTGTTATTATCGCTTGACTACTCAAATACTAAAAATAGCAGTTTTTAGTGAAATAATAATTACGTGGTACTGATTAAAATTGCAAGTGATGACCTTGACGAGTTAGCTGAGGAATCAACGGACGACTTTAAAGGCCATCCTAGCAACGACTGAAATAATGAATTAAATTTCTTTATTTTAGCTAGAAAAGCCGATTTCAGTGGTTGTTAGGACGCCCTTTAAAATCAATCGAAATCAACAGTGTTCAATGTTTCAATTTCTCATGCTAATTGACTAATGCATCAACCCACTGTGTTGAATGTGAAAAAAGTATCTATTTTTGTTAACATCTGATTATTTCACTGTATGAAACGAGTAAATTTTAAGAAGTATATGATATCTTGTAGCAGAGATTTGGGTTACAACCACAGCACAACTTAACCGTGAACGTATTAATTTTGAAATAATTGTGCTAAAAAATATAATTTATAAATTAGCATAATGGCAGCAACTGTTTATTGATTTTAGTCTATTTGTAACCACGTTTGTTGAAATACAAGTCATAAGACCTTGCAAATCTTGGGAATCACAATGACTGCTGATCCACCTTTTGCCAAACAGTATGAAATCAGCTGATGAGGATGGGGATATTTGATATATTTGTGAAACTAAGCATGTTTCAAACCTACGTCAGGTTATTATTCATTTAAAAGGCGAATTAAATAATTTATGACAATTAGTACCGATTATGAACTTCGACAAAACAATGAGAAAACGCACTTTGTCTGAATTGTGTAATGTATTTCCTCAGAAAAATTCCAAACACTGATCGTACATATTTGTCATAGTAATTTATACTAAAGGTTATAAAAGGATAAAGGGTGAGAATATGAGAAGAGATCAAGTAGGAAGGTTATTTTGAAGACAAAAATGACATTGAAAATCAATAGAACAAACATTTATTATACATCAAACTTCATTTCATGGATGAGTCTACCAAGGAAAATTTAGTGTGATAACAAATTGCTTTGAACATGTAACAGTAGCCTAAACTTCTAAATAAGTAAGACCTTGAGGAATTCAAGGATTCTTTCCCAATACGCTTTGTAAGTAGATCTAAAGGATATAGAAACGTCAATCCTGTCACCTGTCATCATCAATATCAACATGGGACCAGGCATTACTGCGCAACGGTCCAAGTTGCCACAGCTCATATCAGTACATCAAGTAGTGAGGTGCAAGGTGAGGATAAGAAAATTCAGTCAAAAATATAAAGTGCTAGAAAAAAGAAAGGAAGAATCAGGAAATGGTGAGAATCGGCATAATGTTAAGATGAGGATAATGTATGCATACATCTGCATCACTGACATCGGTTCTGGGCCATATCACCTAGTCTCCAATCACTGGTTCCTCTTCATGCATTTGTGCCCTCTGCAGTAAACGCGACCTTTAATAGACAAACAGATATCACGGCAGCGCCATAGGTGGCGTAAGTTGGCGAAAGTCAGCCGAGCCTTTTGTATTTGTACAAAGATCTCATCGGCCACTGAGCCGCTAGGGCAGGGCTGATCCTACTTTTCAGGTAAGTGAAGTGGTCGATACACTCAACCTCTACACTCTCTATTGTTAGCCGCGGTGGGGTACCTTTGAAGACCAATCCTGTCACCTGTCGCGACGATATGTTTCGTAATCGAAGAGCTATGAACGCCTATGGATTCATGTGATTCGATTTGTTTTTGAAGACACTTTGTAATACGTTCCAAGGCCTTTGATTATATGGATATGAGTCCTCATGTATGTGTCACCAGAAGTACATTTGAATTGGTAGATGCAGTCATATGTAACATTATCACCCCAAAACCTTACAGCATTTGAACGAATACCAGGCATCCACCGTTGAAATATTTAAATTAAAATTCGCATGTTTTCAAACCTCGTGTTTAAAAGACTAAAACTGTGAAACCGCAAAATCTGCTAATCATTTTATGAAGCTGTAACTTTCGGTTAGAGCCAAGTGACAAAGCACAAGTTATATCACGACTATTTCTTTGATGTTAGAAAACAATAGTTGGAGAGCAAGTGATATGTCCAACAACTGATCACAGTTACACATATGTATTCAAACTTGTTAATCGTCAAAATTGTGAGCACTGAAGTAAATGAAGGTACTTCTGATTGATTATTTTACTGTGGCCAAATGATTGGTATGGACTGACTTGTATGCTCGATGTACGGAACCAGGAATTCCTTCCATTTTTATTGATTAATCTCACAGTGTAACATGTAATATTATGGTAGAATTATTATTCATAAGCCGTATTCCTATTTGACTCATAGTAGATTTTAGAAACATTTTTACCTATTGGTTATCTAAATATTTAACAATGGAACTAGGTCCAATTAAAAACCGTTCTAAATCAAGACTTACTAACTCTTATGACTTGAAGCACAGATTAGATGATATATATTTAGATAAAGATAGAAAATAATTAGTTTTGATGTAATCGGTTTGTGTACCGATTGGTATGGCTCTGGAAGGGAACGGATGGCTGTCGAAACATTGAGTACGGCTCCAAAAATATGGTATCTTGATATCTAGATGACACGTTTACACTCTTGAAATCAGAGCACATATGTAGTTTCTTCACACATATAAATTCAGTAGTCAGCGCAATCCAGTTCGCAGGTGAATTGAAAAATAGTGAAGGGGAATTAGCGATATTGGGTTGCAGAATAAAATGGGAACTAGACGGGAGAAAACTACATTCAAATCGTTACTTAGACTTCAAATCGTCTCACCCTATGCCAGCTGAAGTTGGCTTACTAAAGTGTTTCACAACTTACTAATAAAACAGAAGATCTAAGACAAGAAACCAGATACATTAAAAAAACCCTACTCAACAATTACCCTCCTAAATTATTTGATAATTACCTTGGGAATCCTAAGGGAAAATAACTAGTACTAGTAACATAGGTGTTAATAGTAATAATAAACATGTTAATAATAGTAGTGACAATACTGTTAATACAGAATTCAAAACCTCTACTGCATTCCCATACATAGAAGGCACCTGATAGACGTTATGTAAGATTCTCAATAGGACTGGGATTAGAGTGGCATTTTAACCTACATAGCTTATTTCTAAGTGAGTTTGTAGATTAAAAGATCCGATTGAATCAATTCAACAGAATAAGTTAGTTTATCGAATCCCTTTCAGCGGTTGCGAGGTCAAATAAATAGCTCAAAGTAGTCTATCAGGGTCTGTCAATTAGGCTATCCGAGCGCAAAAACCTAGGTGAAAAGCCTGGGTGGAAATTGACAGATCCTTGATTCAGTTGCATACGTTAATCAGTGTATGCAGTGTTAAGTAATACCTAATTAGGTTGAAATATCTATTCTTTGTCACTCATCTTTGAACATTCGTTGAGGAATCCATTGTTAGAATGAACTGTTTCTGAGTTAATCAAGGTCATCTAATCATAAGCTTGAATGCAATGATGGCTTCAAGAACTGCACCTCTTTATCATTTCGTGGATATATAACGACGAGCTGTTGATACGTTTTCGTCCAGCCTGTAGGTAGGTTGTTAGGGTGGGGAGCGTAGAGAAGTGAGTTTGGTGGTGATCATGAGAATCTTGAAGGGAAAAGAGAAAGAGAAAAAAGGTTAACCGACTACTCAGCAAGTACAGAAAGATAATTAGCTTATGCGATTTATATGCAATTTGAAGACGTGGTTCTGAACCTTGCTCATCATTTCTTTGAACCACTAGGTAGGAACACTAGAGGACATTTCAGGAGAGTATGTAAGCCAAAGACAAACATTTCCACTGCGGAGTTATCTTTTTCGTGTCTACCATATGAATCGACATCCAAAAGAAGTGTTGTCTACGTCATCAACTGATTCATTTACCTATGAACTGAATAAGCATAGAAATTTGTTTGAAAATGACTAATTTAGGTCCCACCACTGTCTATTTTTAAAGCAAAAGTTTGAATCTGATTGCTCGATTAATTCAACAAGCTGAATGTCCTATCATCAAATAACATAAAAATTTCAATGAAGACTCTTTAAACTTAATTTATATTGACGATAGTTATTTCAGAAGTATTCCAGCCTAAAAAAAACCAGAACGCAAATATATCTATTACTGCGATTTCGTACCTGTAAACTTGATAGTCATGAGTCTGGTGTGAATTTTCCATCCAGAGATATATTACTCTAGCTTTACTAATCTTTTGCACTAGAATGAAATTCCCTTTATAAACTTCGGCAGAACAATAAAATGTAAATTATCTGAACCGTGTAATGTATTTGCGCAACACGTTTCCAACTATCTGACCGCACACGTACTTGTCATAGGTATTTATATGAAAATTCATGAAGACAGGGGGTGAGAAAATGAAAAGAGGTCACTTAGGATGGCTGAATTAAAGGCCAGACACCAATGAAAATCAATAGAGTGAAAATATAGTACAGTGAACTTGATTTTCATATTTGAATTCACCGAGGGAGATTTTATATGATAAGTTTTTGAACGCACACAGATGGTTTAAACTTCTTAATAACTGAGGCCTCAACAAATTTATGGATCTGTCCCCGATAAGTTTTTAAAACAGATCTAAAGGAAGCAGTTAACTCAATCCTGTCTCAAAGACATGTTTCTCCATGAAGTTAAACAAATTTAGCTTTACTTTGATTCGTCATTGGAAACCAACTAATTTCATTTTCTCTAGACCTGAGTGCTTACCGATTATTTTGCAGTATTCCCACCAAGCTAGGAGGGTGGTCGCGGTGCACTTTCAGGGATGTCAGTTGGTTGTAACTGATCTAGTCCTACAAGAGGTCAATCGCCAGCTATATAGCTCAGTGGTAACGTCGTTGACCGTAACACTGGATGACGCATGTTAGCATCTTAGGCTGGATGACAGTCCCGTCGAGGTTATAGGTACACCTTCCTGATGAGTATCAACAAGCACGAAATCTAGGTGTAGGGATTCCTGGTGGTTGCCTTCAACTTACTAAATTTAGCTTTATTTCATGAAGTTGCACAAACTTGACAACTGTGATTTTACATTTTCCCTGTGGTGTAAATAAATCAGATTACATATTTATTGGGATATAGCTCAGTGTTTAGCATTATTTTCATGCACTTTAAATACTTCCTGGTTTTTATGACTACTGAGTAAAGGTCAATGAATCTGAAGAGTTATGGGAGAGATTAACATTTATTTTGTTATTTTTTAAGACAATGGCTATCTGTAGAATACAAAATACATGTTATATTCTGTTGAAAACGTATTATTACTTATTGTCTATTGATTCTTTATTTGTTCTAACTAGGTAAAATAATTGAAGATGTTAAAAAAATTTTCATCCAAGTGGTTTGTCCTTTGTCACAAATATTCAGTATTAATCAAACTATCTGAGGTAACCGTGGTTTGACAGACTGTTATGGCTACTGAGTGAAGGTTGAACATTTCACTGATTCTCATGAAACCTGGACAGAAATCCTCTGTTACTGAAGTAAAGTTGGGTCTTATAGCCCAGTTGGTAGATCACCTAGCCGGTAACCCCGAGGCCACTGGTTTGAATTCTGTGACAGCCTAGAATTACATTTCACCTCTAATCATCAACCACTATCAATAACAAATATTCTTCTCTTTATGATCCTGCTTATATTGTCCCGTCGTTGATTGGCCTAAGTTGGTCAGCCTCTGTTGGTGTATAGGCTCCTTCGCGTATCCCTTGATATTCCCCGCATTTTGAATTTAGATATTAATGATGTTTCAGTATGAAATGTAAACTTATCGAAAAATGTCTGTGCCGGGATTCTAAAGCTATTACGGAGAATGTTTGTTGTATGTATCACGCATTGTTCAATCCTTCCTATACTTGACAGACAATCATAGAAACAGAGTCAACATATGAAATCAGTATAAGAGTGTACAGGTATTCAGTAGATGACAGAGAATAAAGGTTTTGGAACGCAAAGTAAATTCTAGAAAAACTTAGAAAAACACGCAAATAATGAAAACGAATATTGAATGTTACTGATGGAAACAGTTAGTTATCCGACCCCGAGTGGAAATATTTTTTAGTCTCCTAATCTATATTGAAAATATTGTCACTTTTCCGTAGTGTATAAAAATGTATGCACAAATATAGCTTGTAAAGTTGACAGGCACCTCTGAATTATCATGAAACAGCTCAGATTTAAGATTTCAAGGAATCGATGCAAGAAAACAATGACGAAAGTGATCTCAGAATCTCCAGAAAAGTTGAGCTGATAATACAGTGAAAATGTCCACTTAACTGCTTCTCTCAGAATTCAATAATGATTCAGTTTGGAGGTTTTTGGACATTTGTACCATTTCAAGTTGATATTCATTCCAGACTGATATCATTTGGAGAACCATTAAAAATCTAGGAGCACTGAACAGGTATTTCGTTCTAGTATGAGACTCTTCAGCAGTGCGTACCTATGAACTTGCCAAAGATCAAACTCATGATCTTCAGCTCTCACAGCTAGTACATTACCAGTCCAGTCCCTGACCAATTCGGTCGTTGAGTACCTGTCTTTACCTTCCACATGTTTAACCCCATTAGTTACGACTTATCATTAGAACTTTTGGAAATCTCATCACCAACCAAGTCACTAGTTTCCATTAAACAGTGGTTCAGATATAAATAACGCACACAATTATCTTTATTGTTGATCAACTGACTTATTCTTGTGCTGAAGCCGTAAAACTTACTCGATGTTTTTTTAGTATAACTTATTTTAAGCTAATGGTTAGGATTTCTTGACACAATCTGTTAGTAGCTATTTTAGAAGTCGTGGAGACATATCAGTGAGCATAATATTTAACAAAGGTGTGAGAAGTAGAAATCACATAACTTACAACTATGCCACACTTTTATACTTGAATTGTTCGACTGTTGCATTCACCTCTAGCAGTGAAATCCAACAATTTTGATATCTGCAGTTAGTCATGTGTATACTACACGCTAGACTTAATTTGGCTTGGAATTATTGAAATGTAGTCACATATACTGAAGTATAGCATCTTGAATAGCTGTGGCTTGTTGACATAAACAATTAACTTTTAAGCAGTGGGTTTGAAACCTACTTCAAATATAGAAGTTTGTAAAGTTAAGTATTATCATTAGCTCTCAAAGAGTAGATATGGATTATAGCCTAGTCCACAAAACCGAGCATATTTACTGAGTTAAATTACATTTGTTTACATACTGATGTTAAAAGTTATCATTTCGATACACTCATGTATAAGTCAGCCAACCGAGTGTTCTGTGAATTGGCGCTGATTTCTACAGCTAAACGTCTTTTAGTTAAGACTCAAGGTCACATAAGGGTTTTAGTTTGAGCATGCACTCAAGAATGTTTTTAAAATCAGCACATGTATGATATCTTGGATTTGTTGAAGATATTTGTGGATTTTCGAATATCATACCCTTTGTACGGTTTTGTGGTTCATATAATGTTGGGGCTCGGGGTCGCTTACACTCTCGTTAGGGTGAGGATGAAATAGTTTTTCCGTGTACTCCTGCATTAAAATTGATTAACGCATGAGTATAGACATTGACAGGAAAACTGAATCTCACAATGATTTCTGGGTAAATTCGTTCTTTCTTATATGTGGTTAGGGTGAAAGTTACAATAATCTACTTTGATCGATCACCTGATGGTAACCAACCACATGTAGTTTAGCATACTTTTGGCATTCGTCAATAAGGCGTATCTGCAACCCCACCTACGGTTCGTACTTGCGTCACCCAGTGTGCAGTTGGCTTAAGAAGAACCAAATTTTCATTTTTAAGTTATATAAATATTCTGACATATTCGAAGCTTGTTATTTCGATGTGAAAACCCATAATACGTTGAAATAGTCCTATGCTATGCGATTTCGCTAGATGAATGTCTACAAGGTAGTGATTCTGATTATAACTACAAGCAAGTTTTATCTGTCCTTCCAGAAATCATATCAGTTTTCACGTTGATAAATTATTGTATAAAAGTGAACTCATCGCCAAGTTTACATTTAACAGTAATACTAGACAAAACAGTAAAAGATTTTTGTTGAAATGCTTTAATTTTGAAATTTCACATTGAAACCATTGAACTAAGACCGGAGTATATATATATATATATATATATATATATATATATATATGGCTGAATAGTGTTAACGCATTAGGTAAAATGATGAGACTGTAAATCAAATAATTTAGAGCAAAGGTTGTACGATAAAAATAATAATAATAATAATGATAAAAGTCAAGTGTGAATCTCAATATCAGCAGATCCAAAGAGCCAATTACATTTTTAATATTCTGCACTGAATTTGTCAGTATATAAATTTTGAAGATTATTTAGCATAGAATCTCTAAGGAACAACATATTATATTCAGAAGCAAAATGCATATTACATGGATTTTATTATGTAAGGCTATCCCATAAGAAATTCTCATTTGATTAATTACTGTTATTCAATAAACAGGTGTTCTGATGGTGGATTCAACAGTCCAGGTTTGTTACATGTAATTTTTAGCAGTAAACTGTTTCAAATGAGGGATCTATTAATAAAAAAACAGTTTTCTTTGCGGATCGACTCCAGTTAGAGAACTGTTAGTTGTTTCGTTTAAGTTTCAAACTGCTAAACAAAGCATGTCCATGATCCCCGAAACGGATACAATACAGAACTGGCAAGTTTTACGGTTAGCGCCTTATCACTCAACCCTTGGGTTGAAATCCAATGCCTGATTTTTCATACTTTTGTAAATTGGTTTACTTAGAGACGACTTTACCGAAATTCAAATATGAAGTTATCACTGGTGACATCAGCCAAGTTTGGGATCAGTTGAACATTTGGTTTCACCAAGTCTTTAAATAACAGCACGCTAGCCGCAAGACCTTTCATCTTGAACTGTATCCTTCACGGGGTTGTGGACGCGCATAGCTAGGAAGTCCCACGTTTTCAATGGTTCTCTAATTGAAGTTGACTCGTAATAGAAACTACCTTACCATGAACCATTTCACAACCACAGAATGACTTTTTAACATTAGGCTAAGAATAAGTGGCTTATATGATTAACTTGCAACCAGTGTGTAAAGGCCTGGAATTACTTTGACTCATCAGCTATTACTTAGGCTAACAAGTAACACCATCATTCGCCATAGTCTAATAAAATGTTAGCAAATCAGAGTTGGAATGATAGGAAGTCAGAAATGAATTATTTAATGTACTTGAAAGAACCACATGTTCAAGTCAGTTCTAATAAGTCAACAAGGACAGTTAATCACAATGTAGTTCAAAAGAACAAATAGCTGTTTATGTGGCTAGTAATGGAATTCTAGATAAACACTAGTTGGTATCTAGCAACTACTATGTGTACACTATTCATTTCCACAGAAATTCGGTTGTTATCCCAGTAGTTGAGTGATAAAATTTGTGGACTAGGCAGTGATTGACGCATGTCAGAATTTTCAAGAGAACATAAGGTTACTGAGGGCTGCGAACAGACACCACTGATGACCATCGTCAAGTGCGAATCGTTGGCGCACGGCTTGCTACCGAATAATGTCGAACCTTTAGCAACATGTAAGGTATGTCACATTGTTGCGTCATACACCTGAGGGTTCACGTTTTGTTCAACGGATATAATGATGAACAGCATAAGTTGTCTTAGCTCCGAAATACTAAAGATCAGTGACTTTAATGGTCACCCCCGCGACTACTAAAAAATAGTTTGTTCTTCGATCCCTTCAGGAAAACATATTTTCAGTCAAAATGAGGAAATGTGATTGGTGGTTTTGTTACCTATTAAGTTGGCCTTCAAGGTCAATTACAAAGGTCTTTAGGAGTAGGATGTACCAGTCAAAGCTTGATAAAACTTGAATGAATCTTATCAAGTCTGAATAAGAAGTAGAGTAGAACAGATGGATTTTATGAGAACAATGTAGGAGTCATTCAATTTGGAGGTTTCTATTTATTTATTTATTTATTGATTCCATGTTGGTGTTGATCACGCACTGACATTAGTTGAGGAAAAATTGGAAACCTGGAAGCACTGGACAGCATTTCGTTCTGATATGAGACTCCTCAGCAATGCGCATCCAGGACCCAGTCAGGGGTCGAAAACATAGGACCTTCATGCCCCGCGGCCAGCACATTCCTATTGAACCACCAGGTTGGCATTCTGTGATCTAGATTTCCTTCTTTTTATAGTTCAGTGTATAGCGCAACCCCCATCCAATGATGTCGCTGTTATCACGTGCGATGTGGTTGGTCACACTTCTCACGACCTCTAAATAGAACTTCAAGAACCACATCTCGAAGCAAGTCACTAATTAGTGCTAGTTTTCTGGTAGGGTCAAGGGTGCGAACTGCTGTGAAGTCCCTTACCAGGACGAAAAAGCTATCCATTGTTCCCAGATTTCCAATTTTTCTTCGACATTTCAGTCCGTGATGAATACCAACCTGAAATTAATGAATATAGGAGGATTCAAGCGCTTGTATAGCACAAGATGTCATAGGAATGATGACGTGAAACAGTGAAAGCAGTATAAGTTAAGTGGCGGATGGTAATAGTGAATTGGCAGGAAGCTTTGGACCAAAATGTTGTGCCTGTTGGCGCTCATCAGCAAGATATATATACACAACCATGAGGTCACAGGTATTATTTCAGTTATTCGAACCTGAATCATTAGGTAATTAATTCTGAAAATTTACCACTAAGCTTCTCAGGTCATAACTGGGCTACCAACCCTTTCTTCGCATACATGCAGGAAAGCGTCTGTGAATCCTTTTAGTGAGTAATTGTTCGGGAATGCTAAAATACCTTGCTACACAAGACCAGGTGAACTGGTATATATACTCATAGGTGGTCTGAAGTGAGATTTTGGAAGATAGTGACAGAGTAGGAAAAACTTCTAAAATCTAAGTGAAGAACGTCTTTAATGGAAAGTTTGAAATCCTTCACCATAAAATATTAGCAGTTGAATCACCCTTGATGCAAAAGTGGAGTGATTTCTCTGACTCTCGAACTCAACGTTTTATCTATAGAGCGAGGTCGCTACTGACTTCTGATCAGAACGTTTCCAGAACACCAGTGACTGCAAATATGTTCGATACGCGTACTGACGGTTACAATTAGGTTTCTTTTATGACCGAGTGGGTACCCAACTGTAGAAACGTGTTAGTTAATGATCCAATTTTGGATTTCTGTTAACGGATGGCATTGGTGTTTCATAGGTCTTCCTTCTCAGTTGTTTCAGGAAAGAAAATTTTAGACTTACTTTCCACTTCAAGAGTAAACCATATTAATAATCGACAAGTATAAATTATATGCAGCACATAATTTAGCTTATCACAGGTTATAAAAGCATCATCCATATACCTTTTATATAACTGAAAATTACCAATTGGTAACAGTAGATAGCCGTTTTCCATATGTTATATGGAAGTATACTAGTAGCGGACCAATTATGGATCCGGCAGCCATCTCATCTTTTTCTCTGTAGTTTTTGTCCCTGAATGAAAATCGTGGGTGGATTTTATGTGGCGTTTCAAATATTCAGCTAGTACTCTGGTATTCTATATGAAGAGTGAATCTTCAGGGAGTCCTGGATCAAGGTTTCGTGCTTACTAACATTTATCAACGAGGTGTATCTGCAAGCCCGTAGAAACTTGTATATCCTCGGTGACCCAAACCCGTGTCACTCAATGCTGAAATCTTTAACATTACTACTAAGACACTTAAGCTATGATCGATCGCTTTAAGAGTGGATAATGCAGACGAACCAGTCACCAGTGGGTAATCGATGAAGCTTTTTAGTCCCCAGCGTTTAACATTTATATTTACGGTATTAGTTGTATATTTTCATGAATGGCAAATAGTATAAATAAGCGGAACATTGGTGAAGATTGATTTCAGGAGATATCGAAAGGCATCAAGTGCTTATGAGAAAAATTCATATGCTTTATGCGTCTTAAAAAAAATAACAGGAAATGTGAAAGGAGTAAATGAAGACAGGACCTAGGGTTTCAGTTAGCCATTTTGTTATTGGACAGTAGAAGGACTTGAACATATTCAGAATCGGGCGAAGTGGTACGTCAGCTTAGTGTATTCTCGGCAGCGGACACAACAGCTGTATTATTAAATCTGTCAAGATCCGTCTCAAGATCAATAATCGGCTTTCATGTCTTCGTAAGTTTACACTTGGATCTATAATTATGATATCACTGAAATATTTGCCGACTTGGACACAAATAGATGAACTTAATCTAGTGTCTCGATTAGACATTAATCCTCAGTCCCGATTAAGTTGACATGTATTGTGCTTCAGGACATCTACTTTAAAGCGAGTCACTAGAAACAGGTAATATAATGTGAGGATGGTACATACGTTGAAACGTCGAGTCCTGTTTGAATCGATACCGAAGTTGCGAGAAAGCTAACTGTGGTAAGCTTAAGAAGTGGCACAAGGTCTCTGATTATTGACTTCAGTGATTTGAGAAGGTTAAACTTCTTAGCTCGGGTTAACTAGATTTAGGAATCAATGGTTGGGAACTCTTGATAAAGTAAAAAGTTGGTCTCAGTAGTCGATCTTGTTAGCCATTATTCACTTATCTCCTACAAGGTAATGTAATTTTTGGTAATTTTTAATATCTTATCCACTATTTTTTCCTATGCTGTGGTGACTTGCAACAAGTTAAAAAGAAGTATTTTGTGTAGCTATGTACTTGAGACTCCTACTCTTTGGATCCAACTCTCAGCTACAGTCTGATTTACCATTTATTATTTTTCCATTCAACCATTCTCTAAGTTACGTTGCATAACCATAAAGTGTATGAGATTGTTTTTCTTTAAAGTGATTCCTCTGTGAGATGCATCATTGTAGATTTCCATCCTTATTTCTATATTTACCCCAGTAAACTGCTGCATCTGTAGGTTTTTTGGTATCTCTTTCCAATTTTTAGATGGATCTAACCAGGAGAAAGTTTGGTGAGTACTCTTAAGTTATCAATTAAATTAAAATTCGATTTCTTCAAATCATCTTGTAAATTAGATTGTTTAACTTCACTTATTTGTTCACCTTCGTCAATAGATGAATCATAAGTTATGTGAAATCTCGACTAATTTTATAACTTTTAGATTTATCTACAAGTCCATATATGAGAAGATGGTTCTTTATACCAATGTGACTAACTTCGTTTTTGGTAGATTTAGTTCTGCTTTAGTTCTGATAGTTATCAGTTAATACGGAAAACAATGGAAATTCATTCAATGGTTTTGGTAGGGTTTACAACCTTACTGTGCATATCACGGTAAAACTCCTTCCCAAATTGACTAAGCTGTCATATACACTGCAAGTTAGACATACACCTTGACACATTCCAGAGTTCTCATGTCACATATGATTAGTTTTAAAAGAGAAGTGTTAACTTAGTCGCCAGTTTAAATTCGACCTATGGTTACTGAATGTGAAGGCTCATATAATCACATAGAGGAAAAGCATATGAGATGAGACTATGTGTGAATGTAAACTCATCTAATTAAGCCTTAAAGTAACTGAAGAGTCATTTAACGACTCAATGTATTATGAAGCTGATATTTTTAGCTTATGGAAGTGATGATCGAGCGTATAAAGATAACCACTCATTAGGTTGAACATTTCTTAGGCGTTGGTTACCGCTCAGTCTATACATTAAGTTTGGGCTGCAGTTACTTAGTGAAGTGATAGGATTATAATGCGCAGCATACTTTGGCTAAATTTAGCTAAATTTATCATCATCTAGTGATAACTCCTGGGAAAACATGTTGTTTTCTCTTTGTCAAAAATGATACAATACTGCCATCTTAATGAATTCCACTAACCTTCATGTTAATTATTATACCCTAGTTTACGCCAGCATTTATGACTGCGAATTTTGAATAAACCCGAAATTTCAAGTTTATTATTCTTTAGGTACTGTTGCATAAGCATTTGTCTCTTTTTCTAATTTTCCTCCGGTTTATCAGTATGTGATATGCATAATAACCCGGTTACCATATAAATAGCAGTATCAATCCACCATAGGATCGAAATTAATTATTATGGAGGTATAGTTCATACGTTAGGGTTATCGAGCTGAAACTCTTTAATCACAGGTTGAAACTTCCCTCTCATTACCAGATTTAAAATGAAAGATATTATTTTCACTTTACAAAGATGGCAAGTATAGTTCATAGAGACCTGTGGACTCAAAAAAATTTAAAGGGAGGATGGATGCTTCCTGACAACATTAAGTGATTGTGGCGCTGACAGTAGCCCGGAAACTCACCCTTTGAACTTCAGTCAAGCAACTGGATGATACCCGATGGTTCAGGGTTCTATTCTTCATGAGGTCACAGTGCGGTTTGCTCAAAATTCCCTTGCTAGAATAAACCAACTGCTCAATACTCTCTATTTGTTAATGGTTTTCCAGCTACTATACGGATTGGTTCCGTCAAAACTTCTTAATCGATGCTGGGAAAAGCTTTTAAAAAGAAATAAATGCTAAGAATCAAACTGTCTGTTTTTCATGAATGATTGACGTCAACGAGTTGAAATCTATGACATTCTGAGATAGGTTTTGCTAATGGTAAATTCTCTATGTCTCATTATATCTGAATGTTGTTTGTTGGATGATAAAAATGTTGGTAAAGATGTGTAACGAAAATTCATGATGAACCTTTTAAATGAAGTTTATTTTAACCAGTAGAATAAATTGGTCAAATATATCAGACATTTTAGTCATAAATTATTACTTCTCTCATATTCATGAGTATCTTCCAAATGAAAAAGATCAAATACCGAAATAACCGTTGTCACCGAAATTTAATAATAATTGTGTACCTTGAGGTACAAAACAAACCAGCGTCGAACTAGGACTAATGAAAAGTCTGATCAGTATATCCTGATACTCCATCACAATTCATGAGGTTTCGGGTTCAATCCTTTCTTAACCTACTTTGGTCTTGGTAACCGGGAATTATCCCAAGTTTCTTCATAGCCTTATACGAAAATGTTTAGGCAACTGAGTTGCACTAATTTAATTAATTGGGTCAGGAACATAAACTTTCAAAGGATATTTTTTAGAAAACGGATTTTCACTATTAAAGAATTGTATCCTCATGCTTTTAAGTAGTCAGCGGTTTCTTCCTTTTGAAGTCAACTTTTCTAGATATCATCTGTTACTCTGTTACTATCATCTTCAGTTCTATCTGAAGAGTAGAGTTTCTTAGATATTTTCTGGGGTTTTAAAGTCAATAGTAACTGTTTTACCTAATCGCAAACTTGACATTTTGACGACTATTACCATATAAATCAAGCGCGTTAACGGTACAGTATGAAATTTCAAACACTTTCGATTCATAGGATTTTTCTTTACAAATATGTCATGAATATTTTAGCTTATAAATGTCTCAGTTGATGGGCTATATCTTTTCATGAATATGTCAATATAAAGCCTGGTTGAATCGGAATCAAACCTTTATAAAGTGTGTAACTTAGAAAAGCTGGGTTAAACTCTTAGACAAGAGTAAATATTCGAAGTAATAGCACATGAAGTCCACTGTATGCTTAGAAGACATGGTGATGAATGAAGATGAGACGTCATAGGGTATTAAAAATCAGAACTTGCACCGAACCCTCACTTTAAATGGATGGGTTCAATGACGCTCTCCACGGAACTTTTCTTTACACCAATCAACAACAAAAAAGTTTAAAGATAGTAAATTGATTTCTAAGAATATCTGTATTTAGTGTTATTGCTTGTATTACACCGTAGTTGATTGGACCGAATTGATCAGTCTTCAGCTAACGAGTCCCAAATAGGACGAAATGCGCATCCTGGACTCCACTGCTAGCCATTGCCCATCATTACTAAATACCTGTATTTGTTCAGTTTACTGATCATACACAAATAAACAAGGAGATTTTGTTGAGTCTAAATTCATTTTAACCTCATCAAGATTCTGAAGATTATTTATGGCACTTACTGCTACTCTTATGTAGCTTTATTCCCCGGGTTTGTTATCTACATAATACTGTGTAGAAAGAAGTTCTTACTTTAAAGTGAATGACTCAGTATAGAATTAATATCACTTACTTTATTCCTAAATTTCTAGATTCACTACTGATGCTGGGTGACAAGTGAAGGTGAAATGGAAGTTCGGGCCTTGGCGGGACTCGAACGAGGTTCTACTAAATGAGCTGTGAACTCCGACTACTAGCCAACATTTATATTTCCCTTCTAGCTGATGGCAAGAAAGACGCTCCTTTCTGTAATTCATGTAGATTTAGATAGGCATGAGAATTCATGATTTGGCAGCCTGTGTAAGTACTACCAAGAGGCAATAACGCATCACGCACTCCCATGGCAGTCGGGAAAAACCCCACTTGGGATTGATGTGAAGTGAAAATCCAGTCAGCAGTTGTGTTTCGTAGCTCAGTTGGTACAACACCATGCCGGAAACTTCGCGGCCGCTGTTTCGAATGTTTTTGTAGCCCAAATTTCTATTTCACCTTCAGTCATCACCCAGTATCAATAATGGTCTGCTAAACCATGGCTATCTCAGATAGTCAAATTGATTTCCACCATTGTCAGTTTGTGTGTCGTAAACATGTCTTGGAGATTAAAAAATAATGAAAGAAGGATGCTGGATACCTATGTACGTGTTAATGCTATTACTGACAGATACTGGACAAACTGTAATACAAAACTGAACATTTTACAAAACCGAAAATCGTTACCTATTTATTATGGACGTAAAATCAAATCAGGGAGGTGAAACGGTAGCTTTTCACAGGACAGCCAAAACTGTGTCAAGAATGTCCTCTGCGTATAGAACAGTTGTATAATTATGTAATTAGTGGACTTGCAAATCACTAAACAATAATCAAATGATCTGTGATACAGTTGAATAACAGCAAAGAACAAAGAAAGATATGTAGGCAGAAGTTATGGTTCCCAAATACACGTAGTAGTAGCGTCAAATTTAAAGCCGAAATTCGCGTTTTCAAAACTGAAATGTAATAAAAGGTATGGTAACAATATGGACCTTTAGAAATGAGTAAAGACAGTAAAAGACACTTGCCACACAGTTGGTAAGTTGTTTGCTGAATTTACTTCGAATTCACTGATCAGCTTTCAGAAGCCTGCATAACTCTTAGAGAAAACTGAGTTTATTATCATAGTTTGTATATATAGGTTATTTGTTGATACGACTAGTCAGGAAATCAGAAGTCATAGTGTTCTAATCTTATGCTCAAGGTAAGTTTTTGGTGAAAACTTGGTTAAACTGTAAAGGATATTTTTGTAAGTTTATCGAATAGTGTAAGGATTGAATTCAGTCTTTGGCCGAACTCATATCATAAGTAAATTGTGTATTTTCTACAAACTGAGAAGAAAAGGTGACTTGATGTTCTAATAGATATTTACTGATTGAGATCCAACAAGAAAAGTTCTTAGTTGTAAGGTGTTTGGTGATTATCAGCAGTGAAATCCAGGATCCGCGTTTCTTCTTATTTGAGGTTCCGTCAGCTGGATGTACCCGCACCGCAGTGAGTGATGTGGTTCTCACATAGGAGTCCATATGCCAACAGAAGTCGGTTGTTTCGATCCAAAATAATAACTGGAAATTACGAGCGTCGCAGATATGTTTTACTGATAAGTGGTGACAAACAAGACGCCTACGTACATGACTCCGTAAGGATCACCTTTAATCATCAGGGACAAATTAGTTTCTTGTTTACTAAGAAAGTTTAAAATCTGTTCATCTCCCTTAGACATTAAACCTGTCCCTTGAATACGTTTTCATAACAAAAGATATTGAGGAGAACTACTAGTGGTTGGAAACTGCTCACATCAGTTCGGTAACTGGATAAAAGTAGTATAAACATTTTGAGCTCACTTATGATATGTCCAGACCAATACACATTGGAAAATTGATTCGAGAATCGAAGGGAAATCGCTCAGACGAGCTAGTGGAAAATGCCATGCACTATTTTCGTTTACTTCCTTGAAACCATTCGTGGTATCAAGGAAATTTCAACTAGTGATTTAAGCATTTGTAGGTGAGATAAACTACTTCGGTTGGCACATAACAGAATAAGTTGTTTATTTCATGCCTATAAGACACCAATTTTGTGACCTGAATGACTTTAAACTAATTGCCGTACTTATGTTCTACCTTTTCATTTTTATTAGTAATTAGGTCAAAATTTTAAAGATTTTATTGAACTATGTAATGTATTCTTGTTGAGTTAAAACATTTCTGCTACAATAGGCTGTCTTTTTACTTTAGTGAGGGTTTGACTATAAATATGTCTAAGCCTCTTAAATAATCATTTTTCATAAATAGATTCTGGAAAATGGGAAAGCTTGCTGTATCCACAAAAGTTAATGAGTGAAACAAAGGAACTACTTCTAAAGGAGAAGTGTGCAACTTTAAAAAATGAGGTAAACTCTAACAACATTTCACTCTATGAAACATTCTACACGGTAATTTATAATTTCCACGATATTTTGTTAATTGAGAAACCATTATACATGCGGTGTTGATTATTTAACGAAGTTATTCATTTGGCTAGAGGACTAGTAGAAGATCTCAAGATAAAACATCGTTTACCAACATAGACGTAATTTAACAGATCTCAGTACTACGCTTATTCTACGACCTTAATGTAGTATTTGATGACTCTTGTAAACGGATTTCTCACAATGATTTTGCTTAACTTCTAATTATACGTTTCAATAAACCGAGAAGATATTCCTTAACAAAGAAGGCTGTTTTTACAACTTCTCATGATAGCTGTACAGTTATATAGAAGTTGAAGTCTGTCATGGATAATGCTAAAAGGGATTACAAGTAAGCGTATTTAGTAAAAAAATGCATCCAACTGTGAATCGTATAAAAAAATAGTATGATGAATGTAGCAAGTCAATCTCAAGCAAGGAAATTTGCAGACATAAAATAAAGAATAGAGCTCAGAAGTGCTTGTTTTTCCTGAGATGGAGGTGCTGGAAATAGAAGTATTATGTACAAAAGGGTTTCGAAGGATTTCAGTCAATAACGTCAGGCTGTAACAAAGGGAATGGAAGTAGATAGGAGGGAAAATTATAAAGCAAAAATTAGAGTTGTGAAACTGTGGCCATGGTAACAAAAGGAAATAAAAAAATGCTCATGTACATAGAGTTCAGAATTCTATCATTGAATAACTAGAACCTTTGGTGTACAAAGGAGAAGTAGTCGAAATCCCTTTGAATGACTCTTCTTTTTGCCCTATGTATCACATCAAATGAGTAATATACAGAAGCCACATGACCCTACGAAACAATATGTTCCAAAACAGAACTGTCCATCGGTCTGCATTCCATTTTCGATAACCATATCGGTAGATGTTCATGAGGACTTCTTGACAGTATTCTACTAGTATGGTGCATATACTCAATGGAGGAATATATATCCATGGAAAGATGGAGTAGTAGTGAAGTTTCCAGCTGGCCTTCTTTTAACTTTGTTGGTACTAATCAAGATATATTTTGAACTACTATATAACTGTATAGCTATGATGAGAATTTACGTAGAAAGTTCTCTTTGGTGGTCTTAAATAAAAGATGTTTAGTAAAGAGTCACCCTTTTGGGCGATATCCTTGATTTAGTGAGACGCAGTCTCTGATTTACTTGAGGTCTATATAGAAACAATTAGGAATTAAGTATAACGTTTTGGGAAGACTAACTGATATGAATTGTCACATGCCTTGTTTACATCAATAAACAAGTGTAGTACTAAGATCTGTGAAATTACATCTGTAGGTCTCACTTAATCTTTTCTCGTCTATTAGGAAAGGACTATGTTATATTGGGAAGGCTTTGAAAGGTATCAGTAAGATAAACCGTTTATCTGTGACCCAACTGATTGACGTTGTAGTCGACGGACGTTTGACTTCATTCAGTCAACTAGCTACAGTCATTTTCCCTGGTACTAAGCATCCACTTTATTCATAATTTGTCGTTGTATTTCTTCATGGAGAGTTAGAAGTAATTATATGAGACTTAACGCTTGTATGGCTAAGCACAAGAATTCAACTTTGTCTTATCTAGCACGCATCTTATGTGGGGAGAAAAAGTGTTAAGACAGAAATCACTTATCAATCTTGTAACAATGAATCATTTAAAACAAGATATTCAGCGAAGAATGTCTTCAACGAATTTACTCTTCATACATTCGTATATATATATATATATATATATATATATATATATATATATCATTCTGACTATCTGAGATAGCCATGGTTTAGCAGACCATTATTGATACTGGGTGATGACTGAAGGTGAAATAGAAATTTGGGCTACAAAAACATTCGAAACAGCGGCCGCGAAGTTTCCGGCATGGTGTTGTACCAACTGAGCTACGAAACGCAGCTGCTGACCGGATTTTCACTTCACTTCAATCCCAGATGGGGGTTTTCCCGACTGCCATGTGAATTTGTGATGCGGTACTGTAGCTTGATTGTACTCATATTGGCTACCTTGCCAAATGTCCTGACCAAGTAGCCACTGTGAGTATAATCAAGCGGTAATAACGCATCACAAATTCACATGGCAGTCAGGAAGAATCCTTGCTGATTGAAGTGAAATCAAAATCTTGTCGTCAGTCGCACCTCATAACTTAGTTGGTAGATCACCGGGCCAAAAACTCGGTGGTTGCTTGTTGTAATCCGGCAGCAGTCCAAATTTTCATTTCATCTTCAATCATCATCCAGTACATATATATATATATATATTGTATATATATATATATGATTTAAAGACTGTAGTGCATCGAAATAACAAAAATGGCTGTTGTACTTATAATAGTATTGCTAGTTGACTTAAAGATTGAGTCATAACAAAAGGCAATCATGTAAGATTTCCCATATCGTTTATCGGGTGCACACAAAGGGATGGAAACATGGTATAGTTACTAAGGATTCAAAAGCTTAGGTGATGTGAATGAGATAAGTTAATTCGGATAAACTGAAAGTGTTTTGCTAAAAGTTTCAATACTTGGGAAGATTAAATAAAGTAACATCGGAAACTATTAATTGTAAAAATATTAATAATCCCCCAGATATAGAGTGTACAAGCTGGCTGGCGATTTGTGTCAATAAGTATATGGTTTAAATTAACACTCATTCACTCGGCAGTCAGTAACAAGTATTATATGAGGGATGTTGATACTATGTGCTTGCTAAAACGAAAGTAGGTGCAGTTGGATTCGAACCTTTAACCTACTGATAAAAAATTTCAACTATCTAGACTATTGAGCCTCATGAGAAGAATACACCAGTTAAATTGAGCAAACTGATACTAATAAAGTCCTGATAGCTTACAACGGGAAACTTGTAAAGCTAAACCACGATGGTTACAATAGACGAACTAATTCCAATAAGTATCTTTTAACAAAATTACTTCACGAAATATACCCCATTATTCACGAATAAAAAGGTGAAGATTTGTATCAGCAAAGAAATATTCCTTTCCAGCGACTTTATTATCAAGCTATACACTCGTATTTCTGATCAGCAGAATGTCAAATAAATACACCAAACAGTTGTTTAGACAATATATGCATGATACAGTTGATGGTGATGCGAGGATGGGTTCAAATGGAATAAATGGAAAAGAAATCACTGAATAAGAAAGAAGTGATTTCAGTTGGTGAAATTAGAATCAAGTGCTGTTAAAGAAGTGCAAGATGATGATAATGATGATAATTACACTGAGCAATGCAAAGTGAAACCAAATGAAATTGAAAAAGGTAGTCAAAATGAATTGTTAACACCGAAGTAGACAAAATGGGTCTCACAAAAGCTGCTAAATGCATAATTTAAGCTTTTGGTCATGTACATCTAGTGCTTCAATTATGCATAATTGATAGAAACGTAGATTTTTGGAGTACTTTAACTTAGCTTTGTGTAGTTAATAAAAAACAGAGGTCGAGCGGTTCGGCTCTGTATAACAATGGGAAACTACAGGTATCATTACACCGACTGATACCCGTTGCACAAGAGGTGGTTATTGTGTCCCAGTGGCTTAGAGGATAATGTTCTGACGTTTGAAGCCAAGGGTATTGGGTTAGAGCCTCAAAGGGAATAACATCACTCGCTAGGGTGCAGGCACATTCAGCTGAATCTCCAACAGGATCAAACGCGTGTCCTGGATTCCTCTGCTAGTCACGAGTTTACTGAACAACAGTAAATCACAAGTACGATTATAATTGTCAGACATGGTCATTAATGATGAAATAGATGAAAACGTTTAGAATATTTGATCACTTCTGCCTCCATAGCATTTTCCCCTTGTGGCTGAGTCATCACCTTAGCAGTTTTGAGGTAAGAAGTACAGAGGAAGCAAATAACATTTGTCCTGATAACTTTCACTGGTGGCTAGTATTCAAATCTGTGATCTATGTCTCATCCTTTTTGGAACTCATCAAATTGATACATAGGTGTACCTATACATTGATTTTCTCACTGAAGCTAAGACCCAGCATGATACCTTCTTCATTCTGTGATATTAACCTATTTATTATGAATTTATTATTCAAGTATCATCTATCATGAAGTGTATCATTGTGGTTTCTCATAGTTTATCATTTTTATTTCTCTTTTCTTCAACAGGAAAATATTAATGGTAAGTTGTAAACTGGGATGTTATAAGAAATAAAGTTGATACAGTGGAGATCGGCTAATTGATTCGCTTAATTTATCTTCCTGATTTAGTTTGTACTGGATGTAAAATAACAGTAATCTCATTGAAACTGTCCTTGCAATTTGAACTGGTGATTAACTATATTAAGTTGGTTATTGAGCAACTGTGCATATTTGCTGGACCTTATTCGTCTGAAGTAAGTGAGAGTCAGTAAACTCGTATAACTGGAATGTAAATCTGTATGAATAAAAGTATTTGCATGTGAACTGTTTATCCTTATTTCTAATGAATTATGTAAGCGAATTTTAAGTTCTCTGAGTTGAAAAACAGCAGTTAAGCAAATTGATTTCAGTGTGCCTCCAAGTAACTCTGATGACCACCAAAGCAACAACTAAGATAACCAGTTATAATTCTTCATTTTTTAGAAATCTGCCCTCCCACCTAAAATAAGGAAACCTAAATAGCTAGTTTAGTCCTTACTCAGGTGACATTTAGAGTCACTCGTGTCTACACGAAATAAGATGTTTGTACCAGTAAAATCTTATTTCACCATTCAAAACGGTGTAATAAAATTAATTGTCAACTGGATGAATCACTAACAGACAAACATCTTGCACTGAAATACGCAAGTTTAAACTTCAGAGTGGTCGTGTGTTCTTATATACTTTCAGTGATACGTTTCGTAAGTAAAAAAGAATGCTGCTCCATTTGAATGTTTCATCTTATAAAAAGAATAAGATTTTGAAGTACTTTCTGATCAAAGGGTCACTCAAGAATATTCTGAAAATTGTATATTCTATATTTCCAAATTGTATCCGCATTATCCTTATTCTCTGACCATATTTGAATCATCTAGAAGGTAAATCATTCTAAGTTCTTCTCGAAAGTTGATGGATTTACAATTATTAAGAACTGTGAACCATAATTAGTCGTTGAACATGTCAAAACGAATACTTATGCAACTGCAGTACATGGAGAAAGATGAAAATGAGAATAAGAGGTTGCATTTTGTAGACTGAACGAAAATTGACTCAAAACCATTTCTTGACATATTAATTTCACACTTCTGGTAACTGCCAAGCTTTCCTTAGAGAAAAGTCTTCCTTCACAGAAATTAGCAGTAAATTAGTCCAAGCATCAATCAGTATGATAAGAGATCAACACTACGTCCCAAAATATGGTAAAGGGGAATGAATAATTAGAATTTCCAACAGGAAATATTGATCAATAGGATTTTTTTTTTGTGTCCCGACAAACTGAAATAGTCCTAAATATCTGAAGTTGGTACTCGATTCGGATTGACCTCAGTTGGAGAATCATCGAAAACACGCGAGCATTGAACAGCTTGTTCGTCTTCGTCCAATACTCCTCAGCAATACGCACCCATGACCTCGTCGGAGATCGAACGCAGAACCTTCAGGTTTCTTGGCAGGGATATCATGATCATCCCACTGGGTTGGAAGCCAGTGGTCCACAGTCTGATAATTCTAAGTTGGATTCCTGGTAGGGTCATGAGTGTGTGCTGTTGAGAAGTTCCATACTAAGACGAGAAGGCTGTCTAGTGCTCTTGAGTTTTAGTGGTTCTGTAACCGTTATCAGTCCGTGATCAATCAAGAAGTCCCCAAGAATTTCAAAACTAAGTCCTAAGTATCGTTGTATGAAATCAAAATAATGTGTTTTCTTGGGTTTTAGAAAACATTTACTTAGTTAAATTACTTCGTGACATGTGTAGTTAGAAACAACTCATGCTAATCAGTAGATTTCGCCAACAGGATTAGTGATGTGGAGGCCGAATGACAGTTTCTCTCATTTAGTGTCGAGGTCATCACCAATGTACCAGGAACAATTTAGTTCACAGGGTGGAACTGTTCGGACCAACCAAATTTGGCAAGCAAACTGATTATTCTGTTTGGTTGTTTATCTTCTAAGGTGTGTTCATTGTAGTTGCTTTAAAGTCTACTCACTGTCGGGCGTACCAGCTGTAAGAGTGTTGGTGATTTTCTATAATAAGAGTAGACTAATGAATGTTTTATATAGAGTTTTAAAAAACTCTACTTTTGTTAATGTCACATTATTCCTAAGTAATTTGGTTCATAACTTTAATATTGTTGAACTGGTGCACATTACGAATAACAATCAAACAGATAAGTAGTTCAAATCATTTGTCAAAAGATAAAGATATATTCTTCTTGGTTTATGAATACTAGAAAAAAGGATCAACCTATGCAAATGAATAAGCTTGTAATCTGTTTATCAGTATTTTTATATGTGCATTAATTGACATCAATAAAAGTTCATGCAAATACAATCAGAGTTCATCACTGTTGTGTGATTTGATTTCCCATAAGATCTCCTTTGTATATATTAGCACTATATAGGTGTCTTCAATGTATGAGCTTTACCGTATTCGTTTCAAGTTAAGTGGAGTAAATGGTTCAACTATTTTGCTGACTACCTTCCTTCTATTGTGTGAAGCATAGTAGCGAGAACTGAAGCATATCTGTACATGGTTACACTTTGATTCACCTTCTCATCTAATCGTGGTACTGACGAACTTCATAACAATTGAATGGTGACCATCTTCAAAGCTCATCTGAATAAACATAGTAAATAGCCAGGTGCTGAGATAGCTGACTAATTATACGTGTTATTTTGTTGAAGTAAACTGACACGTATATATAGAAGGTGGAGTCGATATGTCTTGACCATAATCTTCCTATCCAAAAGTTAGTCACTGATCAGTGACTATTTCGAAAGCCAGCAGGCAGTGAATGAATTCTTCACAACGGGTATAAGGCTATACTTTCCTCCGCCGTTACAGTCAATATTAATGGTTCACTGACCAACTACTCCCAGTGTAGTGAAAAGTTTACAATGTCTTTGCTAAACTTATTGTTTTACCAATCATTACTTCGTGTAATCTGGTGTATTGAACTTATGACTGATTTATTCGATTTTTCAGTGTTCATTTGTTGCTCAAAACTATGCTGCTATTCTAATAGATTTGATTGAGAATGCAACAGTTCCAAGAATCTGTCAGGTATAAATTCCGTTTTACGTTCGAATTATTTTATATATTTTTAAAAGCGTATTTAATTTGGCTTCTACAAATGACATTACAGTAATTCTTTTACGACTTCATAGCAGTCTGTGTTATCGAAGAAGATACAAAGGACTATAAGCATAGCTTCTTACCAGACGGAAACGTGAAATAAATAAAAACGAACCACATAAGTCTCAGTCAACTATTGTTACATAGTTGATCGTATGAAGTATCTTGACGTTTGACAAAGGAGTCCATGTGTAAATCAAGACTGTTAACTTCTATCTTGGGAAGAACCGATAACGAAATTTAACTATTGTTACTGGCTTATCTAGTAGTCAGCACTCCGTCGTTATAACTGAAGTATGTTTGGCTCGAGATTCAGCTGGGAAACTAATGAGCATGTGTGGATGTATCCGGATGATACTTCTTAAATATATCAAAGCACAGTTCTTACAAGATGCAGGACCAGATACAAATTCGAAATAAGCACTTCGCTGTTGTCTGTTAGCTTATATATGTATACAATAAGATAAAATGAGATTTAGTCGCTGAGGTAGAGTGCAGTACTATAGTACTTTTTTATATTTACCACACAGTGAAACGGTATTATTCACTATGCAACCTATACACCAAAGGAACATAGTGAAAAGAAGTGGAGATATTGTTAGTTAGTGCAAGCACTTGCCTCTTCATCAGTAGCTTCTGTATCTAAAACCTACCCATCGTGCTCCGGCTTGCACAACCAGGTGGTGTCTTGGAACATGATACAATAGGTGTATCTCATGTTCTAGTGGGTAGCTACATACAGGAAACTGGATGGTTCGGAAATTGCGCATAGATATTCTTTGTGGTTCTATCTAATGTCTGTAATTGGCCACAAAAGTTCCAGAATTTTCTTTTTCTAACCAAATAACCATGTATGTATATAACGCTAATTAGAACTTTAAGTTCAACCCTTCTAATCTCTCGTTCTGTAAGAATGAGTGTCGTCATCAAAGCGTCTAAATTAAAACTCTAACAAAATATTGCATAAATATAGCGAGAAAGAATTTACCGATAAAAAATCCAGTGGAATAGTTAAGCTGTCCCAGTAGAGGTATTTATCGAAACGATGTTATCTCGGTGGCGTCGTGACATTTAAAGAAATAATCGTAGGGCTGTTATTTCAACGAAAATAAACGTCTGGTGAAATAAGACTGTAAGACTTCTGTTCAGAAATTATTTACTAATCCCAAATCCTATTTCTATTCTTCAAATAAGTCATAATATCCAAATTCTACCTCAAGAAAACCGGAGCAATAGAACTTATACATTGTTCTCAAGAACTGAGTTCTTTCACTGTGTCTCCGGAAGATTTACGACTTATGCCGAGATACTGTAATATGTATCAAATTATTAAGAATTAGCTTATCATGCGTTGACTAGCGTTCTTCGTAAACCTAATAGATACGCCTTGGAAGGAGCCAACTACTTCAGTAACTCACAAAGTAGTCGATGTTGACATGGAGCGCAGTACAACTTTGTCATGGTTCAAGCAACTACACCTAACAGTACTGCAGCATTTCGTAAACGAGCCTTTTCATATTTTGATGGTCTGGTGACGTCACAGAAGAGATGGTTTTCTACGAAGAGTAGTCCTCATGAAAAACAGAGTGGAAATTATGTAAAGTGCAATCATTCTCACCTAACTGTCTGAAACAATCTGTTTAATACTGTATTGTAAGTATCGATTATTGTTAATGGCAGATAACTAAAATAAACATTCGAAAGCGTGAGATTTAGTGACCGTTATACGTCGGATCCTTAAGACTCATGATTGTATTGCCAACCTCATAAAATCGTATACTGACGTAAACTAGACTGCTTTTATGATTATTATTTGTCCCTTAGGTTCCTAGTGGAACACAGGGCTTCAGTAGCACGTCACCATTCCACTCTGTTCTCTGGAGTCTTTTGAACCTGACTCCACGACTGCCCACAATCTTTCATTTCTTCCTCACACCATCTCCTCCATGTCACCCTTGGACTCCGAACCTAGCGCTTCCCCTTCGGAGTCCACTCGACGAACTGGCGCGTGATGTCTCCGAGTGGTTTCTTTCCTCCTCTGCATATTTGTTGCATGATAGGTTCTTGGTTGGTTCGTCACGAGGCCAGAGTTCTTTGCTGCTTATTCTTATTATTCTGGCCATCTGATCTTCAGTATCGAGTGTAAGCGCCAGCTGTTGATGAATGTCTGTAGTTTTTTGGGAATGTTTTTCGTGACGCGCCAAGTCTCTCAACCATCACATGGAAGCACTGACTTGACTGAAATTAGTGTTGGAATTTCGGATCTTGTTCACGCTTTATACTGAATGCAGTGCAGCAGATCTTCACACTGATTTCAGGCTAATGAACACTTATCTTGCTTTTCTGATCCTGGCTTTGGCGTCCTCGTCTCTGCCGCCTTTAGTTGAAACGGTGCTGCCTAAGTAGGTGAAAGAGGCTACTTCCTTTAAGTTTCTCCCGTTGATGGTGATTGGAGCTTGTTGTTGTTGTTTTAATATCTTCATCACCTCTGTCTTCTCTTTATTCACTTGAAAGCCCGTCTTCGCTGTCCTGACTCTTCTGTCAACTTGTTGGTTTTTGCCTGTACATCTTCCAGTTTGTGTGACACTAGACATAAATCATGATCAAGGAAATCCAAATCTTCTCCTGGGGTCTTTTCATCGGTCCAGCCAGCGTATGCCCGTCTTCTCACTCCTCACAGTTTGCTGCATGGTGCAGTCCAGTCGACCACAACCAGGAGGATGATGGGTGATAGTAGGCCGCAGCCTTGTCTTACTCAGGTTTTCACTTCAAACGCATCACTTTGCATTACACTGTGAATCAGTTGGCATGTGGCTTCGTCATTTAGCTGTTGAATGAGGCTGATTAAGGTTTGTTGTATTCCGTACACTAGACTGCTTAGAGAGCATAATGTCAACATTTGTTCCATGGAGCTTAACTTGTGATAATTTATTCGTAAACGTGTTATTTCAATGGATAGTGGTAATTTATTTGTCAAACAGCTTTTTTATCGTGGGATAGGGATGTAACTTTATGAAGTAATTATTTGGAGTATGCTTGACATAATCAGTGTGTATATGAGTAATGACCACGATTTTCACTTTTGACTACCCACTAATTTCCTCCTTGTTTGAATCAGTAATCAATTTTAGTAGTGTTTAGTTGTAGCCAACGCTTCAGGCTTTAATTCGACGTTCAATTACTCATAGGGTTATAAGGTGAGAAGAGTGAACTTTCAGAATAGTTTTTAAAGATATCTTGTTTACATAAAATGACATATCCATAAACACAATATACTACATTTTAATTGTATTTTAGAAGTGGAGAATGTGTTAAAACGAAGAAGCCACTGTCTATTTCAAACATTCTATTGAAAGGATGGTGAAATAAACATAATTTTTGAATTTGTCACTGTTTCAAATTGACTATTGAAATTTTTAACTATCATGTTTACCGTTGTATTGATATATTTAGCATATCATTTAATTGATTCAGTAGCATGATTAAAAATATAATTTTAGGGTGATATCTTCTGTGATGAGTGTTCTATGAGTTGCAATTTAACGTGAAACATTGAAAAAGTGAGCTTTTATTATGGCTTCTTCAACCAATCTGAATATGAAAGTTATCTCCTATGGATGTCTGATATTGTACTATGCCTCCGTTTACATTTATTTTATTTATTTGTCCTTTGGGTTCCTAGTGAAACATAGGGCTTCAGTAGCACGTAGCCATTCCACTATGTTCTCTGAAGTTCTTTGAACCTGACTCCACGACTGGTCACAAGCCTTCATTTCTTCCCCACACGATCTCCTCCGTATCACCTGCAGACGCACAACTCGTCGTTTTTCACACGCGTTCCACCCGATAGCCTGGCCTGACCTGACTCGTGATGTCCCCAAATGGTCTTTCCAGTGTATGCTGGATCCATCTTCACTTCCTCCTGCATATTTGTTGGGTGAGCAAGCATCGGCAGCTGTTGATTAATGTCTGCAGTTTGTTGGAAATACTTTTCGTGACTCGCCAAGTCTCTGAACCATATAGAAGCACTGACTTGATGTTAGTGTTTAATGCTGATGATATTTTCATCAGAGAAGTTACACTGTTGTCCAAAAAAGAAATGACTTCACTGATCAGGGGATGTTTTAAGTTTCAAGGTGATTTGAAGAATAAAGTAGTTTTCTGGATAGCTGAGAAGACCTGCCAAGAATATTTTCAAAAATCATAACACAGAATCCAAGGTTCTTTTCGATTCCCTCTAACTGTCGTATACTTGAATATCATGTACTGTGCATGACATTATGCTTTGCAATGTAGCGTTAAAATCGATAACTTGGACTGATAATTCTGTTGGTAGTGGAGATTCAAGGACAGGAAATCACTTCTTATTTACTTGTCTGTTAGTGCATTTATCATTGTTTGAATAGTGAGTGGGACAGCGTTGTATTGCTAATACACGGTGATAACACTCGAATAATAACCTTCGAATTCCAACCCTGATATTGGTTCGAATCCTTGAAAATATAAGAAGCTGTAAGGTGACAGACGGTTTATAGTTAGTTCGAATCTGTACACACTACTGGCTTACTTGGAGCTTTGAAATTATTCCAGAAGGTTCTTATCACTTGTGTTTATTAACCTGCTCAACTGACCAACCGTGCACATTGTCATTTAATTCCTTGGTAGTTTCTGAATAAGTTTGATAAGTACAAAAGATTTCAATGAACTCTATTTTGTTGAAGAGTCTCAGCTTCGGTTAGCATTCGTCCTAATTATTAGCTAATTAGGTACCTTTTAACACTGTTTTGCATAAAGCGTATTTTCATGTTGTAGGATGTATTAATTTCATTACTGTAAAGATAAAAGTTTGTTACTATGGTGGAGTATAATTCTGTATTAGATGAGTTTATTTGACATAGCATACGGTGATACAGTTTCTTTACTGGATTACAGATGGTTCAAGAGGAATTTATTGCTAATAATCATTTCAAAGTAACCACACGACTTTCAAACTCCATTTCTGTCGTCCGGCAGCTCTGCATTCATTCATTTTTAGTGAAAGCTGAACTATCCAAATGTCTGTGACTGTGTTATTAATCATTTTTACTGCGTGTGTTACGCTTTAATCTAATGAAAAAGAATTCTGTAGGCGACCTTTTCGTTTTACCTAGCTATACTGACTTTAAAAGCTGCCACTCTATCTGCCTGTATGGTGGGATAATTGCATGCACATCGATAGAAAAACGTTTTGCAGATCACTTATCTGAATAAGGTTTATCATTCCTTTTTCAGATAAAATTTAGTGCTCCAGTATTATGACTGATCGTAGTCGGTTGATTGAATCTGAATACGTGAACTCGCAGTCCTTATCATGATATTTGATATATTAAGTGATTCTGCTTAAACCTCAGAATACACCAATTTGATCATAGGAAAAGACTACGTGGTAATAGCGAAGAAACGTTTTTCCTTTCCACGAAGTCATGCACTAAGCTGTACATTCGTGAATATATGTTACAGTAGGTAGACCGTTCCAGAATTATTTCCGGAAAAGGGGGAAAATATATTGAATAACTAAAGAAAGTTAATTCATACACATTTGGATTAATAGTGGGAAAATAGATAAAGGATTACGAAATTAAATATAGTTATGCAATACAGGATAAGTGTATGGCAAAGTAGGAAAATGAACAGAGGGTTATGGTAATAAAATTGTAATTAGGTAATACTGGGTAAACTTATGACAAGGGAGAAAAGCAATCAAGAGATTATGAAATTACACGTATAGTTACCTAATACAGGATGAATTTATGATAGTCAAGTCTTTATGGTGGTCATGGCAAAGATAAAGACTGGACGTACTTTTTTTGGACACACAGCGACAATAAAAAACTCCATGATTAAACCATCCAGCTCAGAGAACACACTATCATAATGACCGTATAATTGCTAAGAGGTATAATATTTGCATTTATATCATGTCAGTATCCTGCAAATTTTAATACTGACACTTGGAGTATCTTTCATTGATTATGTATTCAAGTATTCAACTTTCTTCTCAATAAAAAGTGTATTCATGCGTTTGCCTTATCATTCCGTATTTAACCGCTCCCTTGGGCTTTGAATTGCATTTTAATAGGGTGATAGATTTCATACATTCTTCTTTTTCTCTTAGTTTCACACTGACAGAAGTCAGGTCGGCAGTTTAGAAAGTGTTTTGGATTGTCAAGGTATATTGTGGCAGTGCAATAAGTGATTTAGAACTACGCATGGACTAGACAAAACGGGCATCACTTCTAACCTACACGCTACACTTCTAACTGTGCAAAACACTTATTGTCTGTGTATTGAACACATGTTCGGCTGGTAAGTATCTTCAGATACGAAACACAGGTCACGACTGGATTTCTGTCGATAGCCTCCAGCGGCTCAAACCTTTATAAAGCTAACTCGCAAATTGAGTAGCGGAAAATCAAGGAAAAACATTTATAAGATACCATAAACATGGAAATTAGTGAGCATGCCGATGTTTACTCTCCTTTTGCCGGATTATCCTAACATTACTATCTATTCTATTAATGTATGGTTGTTTACGACGAATATATGTCGAATTTATTTCACTGTTGACTTATATTAATTCCCTACTACAACTAATCAGGAATACGTTGATTTACTGTGAAATGTATGGCATTTCCTATACTTTTGGAAATATATCATGTAATTAGGAACCAAGTTACAGCTTTAAACTTTGTGAGTTAAATAATGAGTCTGTTCTCATTTGTTACCAGTTTATTGAAGACTTTTTGAAGTTGTGATGAAAGACTGGGGATTGCAGAGATAATCAGATCGAAATTCCTAAAGGATATTTACTAATGACCAGGATTATTAAAATATCGCGTCTCGAATTGACGAAAGTCCAAAAATATGAATGGCTGAATCCCATCTTTATCGCTTGATATTATTAGTTCTTATACGATGGGTGATGACCTTAGGTCGAACCTCTTACAGAATTGCGATTCATTGCTGTTAAAATCTGTTTAAGAATGGGTAAACAAGCTGTTCTGCGGTTAATCAGCTGATTTGTTTTCATAGACAGGGTTATAAAGCAAAAAAGTAGTAGCTGAAAATTAGTAATTAGTTAGACTAGGCTTTGAAATTGTTATGATTGCCGTCGAGAAAAGTTGTATGAAGAGTATTCATAACCTTCCTGTTATAGAGAAAAGAGATAATTGAGCGAGGAAAATTTCCTTTCTGAAGATATCATTTTATAAAGCTGTACAATCCTATCTATATATATCACGAACGTATAACAGTTTATTATTAAACATTAGCGTATAATTGCATCACTAAGCTGGTGCTAAGAAACTGAAATCAAGGATGGGCAGTAGTTGTGTAATAACCTTTTAGATAGTGGAAATAAAGAGGAAGGCAAGGAGTTTGACATGGTGAAAACTGTTGGTAGATGAGAAGTGGGAATATTGGGTGTCCAGTTGCTAGACAGATGTAAAGAAGGTGAAGAATGAGACCAAGGTCATAATAAAGGTGATAGTAATAAACTAACCAATTATAATGCGATTGAAAAATTTCGAAAGTGTTAAGACCATGGTAAAACAAGAAACTAAACACGGAGGGACCAGGATTGAACTGGTGAATTACAGTGCTTCTGCTGTGCATAACTGTTGAAGGCATACTCCTTCTGAACTCTATAAGTGACACTGAAGGATGACTTCGGTCAACCTATGTGTCCAGAATTGACCAAATATTCAAGAACTGAACTGTCAGTTGGTTTACATTCTCCCCTAGGCAATCATGCATAACAGTACTCAGAGATGCATTCGGTAAGTGCGCGCTTTGTGCTGCCTATATAACTGCCTATATATAACTGACTCCGCAGGAGCAAGTAAATTTGCAGACACACATTGAGGTGGCCCAAAGTGACAACTTAATGCACCCTGGAACTAATTTCTGACTATAGAAGCTGATGTGTAGCTTTGCAGAAAGGAATATCTTCTGCAATTTTGACAGCCGATTCTTTAGGATCTCTACTGCCGTATCGCCTTTGAAACCAATATTCATAAAAAAAGACTTCTTAGAAGCTGTGACTACTTGCTCCGTATTCTCTTTTAATTCCAATTTCTTTTCCATAAATCTGGATGGGTGTTCATTTTTGCATGACAATCCTCATTAGTTTATCTAATTCACCGTGGATAGGATCACTTGTGTAGATTTTTATGATTCTTGATGATAAAAAATGAATCAGATTCCTTTTTCTGCTGACTGACACCCAGCTATGAAAATTCAAATATTGCCTATTCCGTGTAGGCTTCCTATAAGTCGATCTTTGAAAAGAGCCATCTGGTCTCCATTTCAATAAGATATCGATAAAGTGAAATTCCGATCGATGGGTGACAGTCATCAAACTTTTTAACTGAAGTCCCAATATCTGTATTCTGATCAAGCATAATGAATGCATTATCCATACATGGTTTATTTAGGTGAAAGCTATCAGTTGTTGAATGTACAGCCTTAGAAAATGATATCGATAAGAAAGAAAATTTCTTCTCAGAATCATCTCTTCTTTTCTCGATGACTTAGTGGATATGTTCCTGTCACATTATCTTACCATGTCACGGAAAAATAAGGTGATATTCTCTAGACATGGAATTTTTTATCCTAAATGATAGACTAGAAAAAGACGCCCTAACAACGATTCTAAGTATCTGTAGGCTGAAGGAGAACTTTTCAAGTATTTAGAACTATGTATTCTATGAAAAATTTATAAGAATGAAAAATATACCCAATCATAAAATTGTTAAATGGAAGAGTATCAATGTATACGACGAAAACATTCAGTCCACCTTTTTTGCATCATCTGACCGTTATTCTGAAGTAAATAATAATAAAATTTATTGGAATGAAGTATAGTAATAGCTGATTGTTTGTGGTTTTTTATTGTAACTTACCACCTAGTAAAATTAAAGTAGTTTAAGAACGAATGTAAAAGTTAAATGTGACTTCATGCAACTGTAGATTTCTCTCTGAACATATGCTATTCGGTGAATCAATAATTAACTCCCATTACAGTGCGAATTAGTGGTCGACAGTTATCGCTGATGAATGATTAATGAATAAAAAGAATTTCTTTAAGTTTGATTATGTACTAACCAATTTTTGATGAATTAAACCATTCAAATGAGTATTATTGAATCTCTTTCGCCCAAATTAAATGTTTGTGTTCTATTTTATTTGTGCGACTATCAGTTGTTGCCACTTAATTCAATCGGTTGTTCTCAGATTCTAGGAACTAGAACAATTCTTTTTTAGATGCGGTAATGGAAGTTGGAGACAGATTCATAAATGAATATAAATGAATGACTCAGTGATAACTAACATAACACCAACAAATTCATTAAAAAAGCCATTAACAGCTCCTCTAACAAATACCAGAGATAAGGATAGTCGTATTTCATACCTTTTTATGATCTACAAAGGTTTTCGAGTGTTTCAAAATCTTTTGACCACTTGTGTGATTATTAGGTAAACTTCCTTGATGGTAGTGTTGAGATTCGTTTATACCGAAGGCATAATTACTGTCCACGTGACTGCTGAGCAAAAATATGCTCATCACTACATCTGTAGGTCCTTGATGTTTCCTAATGATAGATGAATGGTGCCAAGTATTTGAATATCCCTTAACAGAAGGAAATATTTGAACTCTGTTTTTCCGGCTACTGAAAAATATCGTTTAAATAATTGTTTAATGATATTATGCACCTGTTACTAAGGAGAAATGCAATCATTTACCGATTTCAGTGCATTGGCTGTAGTTACACCTCCAAGCTAATGGAACTGATTACTTAATATGGTGCATTGCAGATCAGTAAAGTATGGTAGTTTGAAGGGTCAACTAACATGATCTGAGACTACCTACGTGTTCTTCAGTGAGAAGTTTAAGAAGTGACAAAGTAACAAATAAGCAACACAGTGGCCAACATTTTGCATTTCAGGGTGTTGATTTCCTAACTTGGATGTTCTCTGAATTGGAGTTTTGTTTAGAAAGGCCTTCAGTTTAGCGCGAGATGTCCTTATCAGTGCTAAACTTGGGATTGAGTGAAGTTATTCGTTTAAGATGAATACGTCTAGCATGAAATTGAAACGTTTGCCAACCAAAATTTCAGGTTTGCGTACAACGTGATCTGAATAACAGATTATTTCATTTATGTTCATCGTCGCTTGCCACTTACTATTAATACTGGTCGCAAACAATGTTGCTATTTCGTGTATAACTGCTAGTGAGATTCTTAATACCATTCAGAGTTAAGATATTGCAAAACTGTCCTAATAATTGCAAAATTAAATCAGTTTGATTGGCAAAACTTACTTAGAAAATTTCCTTGACGAAATGCTTGGCATGGTTTTTGAGTATTTTCACACACTGATTGAAAACAATATGCATAATTTCAGACAAAGTGGAACGTTTATATTTTTAGTAAAGTAAAATACCTACTACCTATGAAAACGTAAAATATTTCCAATTTTCCTTCCAACCAACCGACTAGTTTATTCCCTCTCGAAGTCGTCATTAGCAAATAATTGTCTCCCATCCATAACCTGTCTTGTGTGCAGCAGCTATGCGCTTCAAAGCATATACAGTTAAACTCTCAGTCACTTGTATTTTTCAACATGTTTGTCAATAGCTTATTATCTACTTCTTTACTACTCTTGTTTTGTTTGTCTCTGATATCTTTGATTCGTAGGTTCTTAGGCAATGGTAAAGAGATCTGCAGTGCAGAAGAAATATTTCCTCAATGAATTAATACCTATTACAAGGCTGTTCAGCTTTTATACTCATTCTTATGCTAACTTGAGGATTCAGCCCCACAGGGAAAGAATTGAAACATTAAAAATTGGCAGATAAACCGATCATACAAAACTTCTAAATACCACATCGAACAAAGTGATCTTTTGGGTATTGGTCTGCGGAATAGCAAATTAACTGTCCTTAATTAAAAGCTCATGGTCAACAGCTGTCACTTGTTTGAAAGAACGAGAAAGTTATGAGTGAAGTAAATTTAGGATCTCTGGAAAAATTTCTAGAAGCTTGAATCTTCTCAGAGTTCAAAGGCATGTCGGCTACCAACCAAGAGAACTCGTCAATACTGATAAATAATCAAGTAATTGACCAAGATGAATATCATGTTTACTTATAAAATTTCAGATCACTAATACATGTTGGGAAGGAGCTTTTGATGATCTTTAAACACTTCCCTTCTCCTCCTTAGATTAGTCTTTTGAGTTTTATCATTGTGTGGTAATTAAAGTAACGGCAATTAATCTGCATTTTTCTCAGACCTAAAATTACAATCCACCTTGTTTTTCGATTGCACTTTGGTTAACTGATCAAACAGTTTTTTGTTAGGTACTAGAAATCAGTTGGTAAGAAGCATTAAACCAAGGCTGTATGTTTATTGGCACTCATCAATAAGGCATACCTCTAATCTCAAGGAATCTCTTATATTTTGTGAAGTATGAAGTCCTCCAGCTACTCAGGTCAAAAATGACTATGTTGTTTACTGAAAGATAAACACTTAGCTGTTTAACCTTAAGGGGTTATGGGATTTTATCGATCTGGTTTATAATGTACTGAGTAAACTAGGTGAGAGCGATCTGCTGCGCAATTTTTTCCTCGGCCTCACACATTCACACAAACATTATCGCATTCTACAAACTATGTGGTATTTTCTCTTCTAGTACACCTCTCAATAAATTCTTATTTCTAACAGACTAAGGTGAAATAACTGCACTGATTTACCCGTCGTGTTGGCTTAAAAATCATAAGTTATTGAATATGTTTTAAGCTATTGTTAAAACTAATTGACGAAAGTACTCACCTTGTCATCAGATGAACAGATTTGTGTAATTGTCTGATCGATGTATTCTGGTGTAACTGTAGCCTGTAGGTACTGTTTAATTATGTTCACAGCTTGCATCAGTGTATCAGTATCTACCGAAAAAGAACAAAAGTGTACAGAAAATTGTCTCCTAGTATGTACTGCACAAAATGTTAGTTATATGCTGAAAAACATATTTTCCTCATCTTATTGCTATTAAATTACTTGAGTCACACTGTACAACAGTTAACATAATCGTGAGGAACAATTGATACATGACCATATAATGAATGAGAGCATTCTGCAAGTGAGGTATACCGCGCAGTGTATGAAGATGAAAAGTCTTTGGTTACTGGTGTTTTCAACTGGTATCAGCATTTACTACCTTCCATGAAGGGTGAAGTTTGCCGCATTAGGAGTTAGGTGGAAACAGCCGTAGTAAATTTTGTACCAGGAAGTAAAATCAGTATGCAATGCTACAGACAGCTGAGTTGAGCTGTGTGATGAACCTGTAGGCTGTTGATTCGGATAATTATGTTGGTAACCAGGTACCACAAAAAATAAAGATGTGGTTCATTACTAAGCTGAAAATACTTTCAATTGTACTGTTTCTGTTTTCTTCACAAGCGAAGTGTTGTTTAACGGAAAAGAAATTCGAAACAGTTTATTCCTGTTATTCACTAATATAATGAATGTCGATTGAAATTCTACGTTATATTTCCCAAAGTCAAACTGGTTCAGTCAATACAGATATACATGCTAAAAGACACTAGGCGTCAAGCAATTCAGAATGTTTATTTCCCGTAGTCATACGTTTACAGTGTCGGCTCTGTTTCATGTAATGGTACTAGTCTACAACTTCTGTGCAGGTGCAGACTTTTAAACTGAATGCTTAAATCTCAGTCAGTCGCACAAGTTTTTTTATTCAGTAACACTTGTAATACTAGTATGAGTGCTGAATTATTTTATCTCATACGCTTGAATAATACCGCAGTCAAAGATTTGTAGGTTATAACGCATTATGTAAAGGCAACAGATTTTCAAACTGACGTTAATAATCCCAGTTTAGTTACTTCATTATAAATGTCATGCAGTGTAACAGTATTATTTACTGGGTAACGTTTCGGACACAATTTATTGTCCATATTCATATCAGGTTAATCTATAACTTTGAGAATGAGTTTAAATTAGTCCTAATTTTCTCTCCTTATTCATGATGACAAGGATAGTAGTAGAATTTTCCATGAACCTGAAGCAGGTGCGAAATCACTTCTATTGTATGTATTTGGTGTTGATTCGATGAACAAAAATTCGGTTATCAATCTCTTCCTTCAACCAACTGAGATAGTTTTTAATACTGTTATTCTATCCCACCCTATTGTGTGACTGTGTGCAATTGCAAGCAGAGTTATAGCCGAACTTTCTCTAAATTTCTTATCTTATTAGGAACTACTAGTCTTGATTTAGCTATGTGTTTGTGCTCCGTTATTCTCATCAACTTTTGTCGACTACTTTGACCTATGTATTTGACCTCGCAATTATTTCCAGGGATTTGGTAAACCAGATTATTTTTGCTGTGTTACTATACAAGGAAGGCACCTCAGAGGTATTACAAAAAATCCTCTATAAGGCTGGGATTAAAATGACATTTAAACTTAAAAAAACTCGCTCAGGAACAAGATTTGTGCGTTGGAAGATCTTATCAATGCAATTAAGCAAAAATAATCTGGTTTACCAAATCCCTGGAAATAATTGCGAGGTCAAATACATAGGTCAAAGTAGTCGACAAAAGTTGATGAGAATAACGGAGCACAAACACATAGCTAAATCAAGACTAGTAGTTCCTAATAAGATAAGAAATTTAGAGAAAAGTTCGGCTATAACTCTGCTTGCAATTGCACACAGTCACACAATAGGGTGGGATAGAATAACAGTATTAAAAACTATCTCAGTTGGTTGAAGGAAGAGATTGATAACCGAATTTTTGTTCATCGAATCAACACCAAATACATACAATAGAAGTGATTTCGCACCTGCTTCAGGTTCATGGAAAATTCTACTACTATCCTTGTCATCATGAATAAGGAGAGAAAATTAGGACTAATTTAAACTCATTCTCAAAGTTATAGATTAACCTGATATGAATATGGACAATAAATTGTGTCCGAAACGTTACCCAGTAAATAATACTGTTAGACTGTGTGGCATAACAAACGAAGTAAAACGGAATTAAAATTTACCCCACTGCCCAAGTTTCAATTAGACATTGTAATTCCATCTTAATTATGAATCTAACGCTTAGTTTAGATAACCTGGTGGTACTTTATACACTTTTATAGCTAGAAAGATCTTGTACAAGAATGAAAGAAAGTGATTTTCTATAGTCACTTAAAACTGGCAGTGTAACGTGAATCTAACGTGATTTATTAATGCTAGAGTCTATGGCTATGCATAAATGAAGAGTGACTAGGCTATATACCGCTCTAGTGTTTACTAAAATCGAATTGTTATTATTCAACTGTTTTCTGAGGTAAGGTTTTAGTTGACAAGTGTTTCAACGTCATGCTAAATATCGTCATCAGTGCATCACAGCTTCACAAGGTGTGAAACGGTTTATCAATAAATACATGAACTCATAGAACAGCTAAATACGAAGAAGTCTTTCGGGACTTTAATAGCAAAAGAAAAATCAAAATTCCTTTTTTTTGTAGGCTGAAAAGTTGCTTACGGGGTGCATCGTATGCATTCTGCATTACATTTTGTTCTGCTGTTAAGCAAAGTCCTATATACTGCGCAGAGAAAGAAAATTATTAGTAAATTGAAGGTTAATCAATTTAATTTTCATTAAAATAGTCAAAAGAAGTGGCTTTTGACTATTTAAAATTGTTTGTTTTCACCTATAATCGAAGATTAGGCTTTCAGAATGAACGTCATGCTAGCGTGTTTATTTGTATGAAAATAATCATCAATAGCTTGTAAAATATCTCTAACTTCTGTCATTTTTCCTGCAGAAAAGTTTAATGAGTAAGGTTATATTTTGACTCTAAAATTGTAGTTTACGCCTCAGAATGTCATTAGCTATTCCTTTAAAACAGTAAATCAGTTCACAGTGTGTAGAATGTGATAGTTCTGTTTTCGCATGAAGATAATGGATAAATAATAGAACCAGTTAAGCTGTTTTTCTTTGTCTGAGATGAGCCAAAGGCTTTTACACTTAATCCAGTTTCATTTTGATCTTAGGATCCCGATGTATCGTTGAAAGCGTGATACTAATTAATCACTCTTAATAAATGATTCATTTTGAAACGAAGTTCGTTCAGTTAGAATTGGGGAGTGATGTTACATTTCTGCAATGCAAAGATTTACTGAGGTATTGGCGCTAATGTATTAAGGTACTGAGTTTGGTTTTGTATGAACGTGGAGGTCAACCAAGTGTTCTTGATGGTGAAAAAGCCAATATATTATATACTGTATTTTGCTGTAGTCATGAAATTCTTTCTGAATAGTTGCAGATGACGTCAACAGCGTAAATTCCTGTCAGATTTCTGATTTCAGAGGTAAATACGAAAAAGCGTTACTGTGGGTGATGATGTCATCGCTGTCAGCAAATATGAGTAAAATACCAGTGATCAGTATAGTAATAAACTTGAAAGTCGGCTCTTTGTTCATCATTTTAGGGGTTAAACATATTATGAGAGATTTTAATAATAATGGTAATCACTTTATTCCAGACAGCATCTTTTAATATATTATGAAATTCTCGGTGTAATGGTTAAAAATTTACTTCTTGTATAGTATTTTTGAATCAGATGACCATCACAGTTAAATAATACTAATAATAACAGCATGATTAACAATAATATACACCAACTAAATGTTTTTAGCTTGTCGTCTAGTTTGTGGATATGTTGTTGCACAAGGGGACTAATGGAATGGCACTAATAAGTTTGGTGATGGTGATGGATTATTCAGCCAGCATAAAAGTTTGCAGTTACTGTTGGTCATCCCTATAATAGTTACGTGATAAACTGTTGCAAACTCAAGAACTCACTGCCATCTACCGTGATACTAACACTTTTCTAAACCAGAGTGACGATAGGTTGAAGACATTTTGAGGAGGTTCAAGAGTACACCTTGCAGTTAATTGATAGTTGAATAATTAAAACAAGTGCGATAGGAGTAATTCAATGTCATATATGATGGGAACTTTTAGGTAGTCCACATTTCAAATAGGACACCAAGGTCTTAAGCAAGAAATGTCTAGTAAATCTTTATACGTAATGTAAAGTTACAAGATTTTTCTTCTGATACTATGCGTAGATGTATGGCTTTAGATAGTACAAAAGTTCTAAAAACTTAGGTAGGTTATTTTGATTTATTTACGACTGGTGACACCAGATGACTTAAGTAAACACAATTGTTGTTAAAAAAGAATATGTTTTAATGTATGTAAAATGCATGTCAACACCTTGTTCAAGAACAATGGATGCTCACAGAAAGTAGCTATTCTTATTAGACAGTGCTTTGGGATCCAATCGTATTCCTCTTATCCTAGTGCATTTGAAAGGCTTGCTGAAAGGTTAGACTTGATATGAATTAGAAATGTAGGAAATAAAACCCTGCGGATGAAGATAAGTGATAGTAAACTGTCAGATTTAGAACAGTACTTATAAATGGATACATATATATTCTATAAAAACGTTTTCTTCAGTAGTCTACTTGTCAGAACTATTTGACTGTCTAGTAAACTTCTGTCGTAGTATTTATATGGTTTTAATGAAAAAAAAGATAAATAGGACCATGATTTCAGCAGAAGTGAAGGACTGTCTTTTGAAGAAGTCATTTCCAGTAGCTGCATGATTTCGACCAACTTTACAATCTGAATCACAAAACAGAAGTGCCAACAGTACTGTAAAATGACTTTAGCCGATAAATGTTGTTTCCCACCTTTGTACAAAAGAAGTATGCTTGAACATTTCCTGTTTCTTCACAAAACGAAAATTTCACAGAGCTAAGAGGGTTAATAGTAAGCTCCTTGAATAGTGAAAAAATAAGTTATGCTCTTCATAGATGTTTGTTTTACAGCCAGTTGAACTTAGAGTAGTACGACAGATGCTACTGGTTTAAATCTATTTTGCACATAATCTTCGATAATTTTTCCTGTTTTCGATTTCAGCTGCTTCCATAAACCTGAATTATCCTCCAAAATTCGCTTATCACTGTTTTATTAGGTTTGTCGTTTAAATAAATATACTGAAAATCATTGATGTATCAGACGTTCATGATTCTAAAGTGTTGAAAAGTTTTGATAGCTATAACTCTGTGTCCAGACTACTATTCGATGACATACAGTCCCATTATTTGAAATTTCACACTGAGGTTTTCATAATGCTAGTTATAATTTTTTACTGAAATTAAGAATTACGCTTAATGTTTCCAGAAAAGCATTGAACTTTGAAAGCTTACCTTACATGGTTCATAAACGCTCATGTTAACAGCAAAATCATGAAGCTTTTGTTTGAATGGTCCATTAAAGAATGCTTTACACTAATTAAATAGTAGAGTGAATAAAAGAATGAATAAATAACTTAGACAAATGTATGCTTACTTATGTACTTCTCTTGTTTGGCATTTATACAATTATGCTCATTGAAAATCAACTCAACTGTAACTTTGTGTCCTGTAGCTCTATCAGTGTAATTCTATCAATGTGAGAGGCATAGATAATGATTATAGTTAAGTAACTTCATTATCATTAAGTAAGACAGGTTTAAATCATCGAGAAGTCTCACCACGGCTAGGGGTACGTCGTACTGATGAACGCTGGCAAGGATGAAATCCAAGTCAAGTAAGGTTTCCTGCCAACCGACTCCTTACCTTCAGCAGTGTAAGAAACGAAAGTTCAGAGCGTAATTATTTAGCATAACTGCCAACATGTTATGATCTCTTCGTTTTATAAACAAGAGAAGATCCATTTTATTTCAGTTCACATGTACGCTACTAAAAGGTAACACTGTCTACTAGATAAATGAGCTCAGAAATGCAATTGGACACTGAATTAATTAATGTGATATAGCCTACATTGATGCAGTATTACTTACTGGATGACGTTTTGATAAGAACTTACTATTCATAATCACATGAAAGAGAAGCATCATCCCACTGACAGTATTGAAGTCGTTGTTTTTCAGTACCACGAAATCGAATTTAATCTGGAATTAAATACTGTTGCAGTTCTTAAGTTTTACTATTAACGAAATATAGTTTTGTATTTCTTTGGAACTCATAATAATCCGGCATTTTCAAATGTGTGTTTTTTACTGAAGATTGCAGTCATAAAGATACCTGATCCTACTTTGAAGTGTGTCACCGGAAAAAGATCATTAAGGAAATTGGGTCTAATGGATGAATACAGTTCGAAATACCTTATCTTGACAGCTAGTGAACAAACCAGAACAAGTTTATAGTAATTTGTATCTGAGTTATTAGCTTATAATTAAACCGAAATTATGAAGTAGTATGAATAATTAGTAATCGCTTAACTCTGTCACAAATTGAAATCTTTAATGATTAAATGAAAAGCATATAGCAAAATTTAATTCGAAGGCTATCTTCAATTGTCTAATAAGTTTTGTATAAACATCGGATTTTGAGTCCTTGAAAAAAGTTCTGAAGAATACATTAATCTTTAAAGCATAAGATAAAGTTCTGTTGCTGTTGATGCTTGTGAACACAATTTGTGACAATTTTTAAGGAGATTGACGCTTCTAGCGCTTACCAATTCTCATCAAAGCTGAAGACATTAATAATGAAGTATAAATTAAATTGAATTTGCATTAAGAAAACCGTGGCGTACTTTTCCTGTCTTATATATAAATTATGGAATTTTAGCATGCCTCGAAAATAATCTCCATGATGCAGTAAAAGAAGCCATCACTATCCTGGTGTACATTGAATTCTTCGATTCTACTGCTGTATTCAACAAAATTTTCAGCTCCTTAAGAACCATTCTGTTGGGAATTATCTGTCATTTTATCATTTGCAAACGATTTTTACACGAAACTCATTTTACGAGTACACTAGCCCATTTTAATTATGAAAGAGCGTCAATTGAGTTTGAAGAGATAATATTTTAAAAGAAAACTGTAGATCATCAAAGAATGGTGATTGTGACTGGAGTACGACTTCTGTAAGCAATGTATAATCAGTTCCGGATCTACATTTTATTCTTCTTAAATTGATCACAGATTCGAGTAGCACACATTTTTTAGGTTGAATCGCCTATCATTCACTGCAAGGACTGAGTTTGGTTAGTTGACAGGTTCACTGCTCATACTAATTCCACCTAGATGATGAAAACCAATTAAAAGTGGAAAACTTTATCGTTAATTTATCCCTATTTTCTAACAAGTTTATGTTCCTTTTTGATGGATTACAGAAGTAAGGAATAATGTTAGGTGACAATCTTAGAACTTCACGACATGCAATGTTTCGGTTCACTGCAGTTGTAAAAGTCTTAATATTCTGTATTAGCATAATCACCTTGGATCATAATGAAAAGTAGTCACTTGATGATAATTAAAATGACCTACCGATGCACGAGGTTTCCGATACGGTAGAAAGTTACACATTATATTGAACAATTTGGCTAAAGCTTCTCTTACATAATCTTGTAAAAGAGCCCATCGAATGCCACGTACATTCACGACGCATGTTTGACAAACTAAAATTTAAACGAAATCAAAATTTTAAATGTTGGGAAAGATGAAGGTCAACAAATTCACCTTATGGAACGAATCAATTCTCATTTTCTGAAATTCATCTCTTCCAAAGAGTCGCAACCATATTTATAAGTTACTTTTTCACCTATCAGTTATTGTTGTGTTTCATCATTAGGAAGTGACATTCATTCAACTATAAAATATGCTACCTGTTTCTCTTGACTAAATGATTTTTTTTCGTACGTAGAGTCATATTATACATATGCATCAATAGATGAGTTGTTAGTTACAAAGGACGCTAAATCTATAACCCTCCTCTTCTCTTAACTGGGTGAATCAGTGACTTTAAAATTCTATTCCAAATATAAGATTTTTTTCCATTTTAAATGTTAATGAAATGCTACCAACATTCAACAAGATATTGCACTGATGAGCAGTGACTACCAGTGGAACCGAGGAGGCGCATTTCGTCCTATTCGGGACTCGTCAGCTGGACGTATCTATCTTCCAGTAAGTGACATTTTTTCAAATAAGAGTGGAGTCCAGGACCAATCGCTTCAGACGTCTGAGCGTTATCCGCTAGGCCTCTGGGTCACGATAGCCATACTTTGTACAACAAGTATTGCAAGCAATAATATTATTTGACAGTATATTCTCGAAAAAAGAAGTAACAGCTTAAAAGTCACTTTTGCAATAAGAAAACTCGAGGAGAATACAACTGCAGTTTACTTCCTTACCAAATATCCTCTAGGATAACTAACTTCATTTTGTTGCAGTGATTAACTTAAAAGATGTCTTGACCAAATTATATGATTTGTCCAGGAATCTTAGTGAATTAATGTTGTTCAACTTATCTCATGTGCAATGAGTATCCGCCATATTTGGACACTGAACAGTCTTAACTGTTGAGAGAATAATTGCAGATCCGTTATAAATGTGACCTTTTTATGTCTACCTCGGTTTTTCAGCAAACATTCAATAACTTTATTACAAACTGGACAAGAATGATATGTTAGTTAGTTGGAGGTGATCAGCAGGAGGCAGTTTTCTACCGAGGTTTCATACATGTTAGTATTCGTCAGGAAAGCGTATCGTCAACCTGAAGGGAAGTGACGTCTTCCATGGGATTCGAACCCACATCAGCCAGTGTTGTAGTTAACGACGTTACCACTGAGCTGTCCGGGTCACGACTGGTCTCCTTTAGGAGTGGATTAGATACACTGACTGGTTTAACCCATCCAAGTGCTCCACGATGGTGTGGCTCCTAGTTTGTTGGTCATATTACAAAATGATTCATAGAATTCCATCAGCAGACAGTACTGGAAAATATGAAAATGGTTGCCCTTAAGTGTCCACTTAGTGTCAAATACGATATGTTATTATATATCATACACAATCAAACAGTTTCATCTTACGTATTTTGCATTCAACTTTGTTGGGATCTTTTTCAAAGTCCTGAAATGAAGAAGGGTTATTATTGGTAATAGTGATAATACAAATCACCTTTCAGCTACTTGGGAAACTATTTGTCTAAGCTTAATTTTAAGCAATATAAACGTCAAGTAGCTTATTCAGTGTTTATAAATCTACTGTTTGCTAAGTCGGGATAAACGGGTTGATAAGACTGAGACTGTTTGGTAGTCATCTATTCGGGAAGAACTAATGCTTTCATTTACATATTGAAAAGTTTTGCTAAACGCTTCATAGATCATACAGTTATTCATGCAGTATGACCTCTGAAATTCTTCTATCATTCTGCTGTTTTTACTGTTCAGGGTGTTGATTTTCTCCTAAGTTATTCGTGTACAATGAAATCGGGGAAGATAATTTATGCTATTCAGACTTCAGTCGACGTTCACATAAATGAAGGAAAGAAGGCTGGCCATTTATCTTGACTGAATACTCTTTTCACTTGACTTGTAAAGTACCTAATTAAGATATATTCAGGGTTTTTTAGTTATACAACTCAAAATATATCTGTAGTCTAGTTGGAATCTTCTAAATATTTATCACGTAATAATAAAATATCCACTCGTCAATTTTTCCCAGATATCTTCTGATCACTTTGTGTGAGTAGCTTCAGTTATTCGACTTTCTACAGTTTACCTTTGCTCTTTCTAATAACTCTTATAAGCAGCTGCTTTTCTCGCTTTTTTGAGTAATTAATGCACTAATATTTCCGTACTCATTTCGTATTTCGAAGAGTCAAGATATTATTCTTACTTTTTTGCGAAGCAAGTGTCGTTAAAAATATTTTGAACAGTATGTGAACATTTCTCAACTATATGTGTTGAATCAATTAAAATGCATGTTTACACGGAATATTTTGAGAAAAATTCAAGCCTTATCCTTATTTGTAAACATCTACTCCAGATTTATTAATACTAACTTTTCAGGTCCTTTCTTTCTGTAAAGCTGAATGGCTCTCCTATGCAAGGTGGGTTAGATGCCCTGGCAGCTCCACCAGCTGCCGTTGTTGAGCACGCAGAGCAGGGGAGCCTGTATCATCCCGCCTGGTTGAGGAAATGGTCTTCAAAATTGGTTGCTAATAGATTCCCGGACCTGCATTAAAATACGTCGATGCCACCATTCAACCACAGTAGGAGGGGGGTTGATATAAGTAGGGCAATGAGTGTGAGATATGGTTGATCTTAACGGAGATAATCCATGCTATTCCTCTTGTAATGGTTCCGTTAGTAGGAGTGTATGGTGTGTTGTGTACATCTTTCCTGAGCATATGAATTGGACTAAAAGCCTTCCTTATAGTTGATGACCTGAAATTGACTCAGAAATCTGCAAAAGATCTGTAAAACCCATCTCTTGAAGTATGTAGAAGGATGACATCTGAAGATGGTAACAGTTTGTTGTTGTTCTATAAAAAACTAAATTAGATGTTTGGTAGAATAGTTTTATGATTCCGCTGGGTCTCGTGTCTCTGTATAAGTTTCTTTTGACAGAATGCATACTTTTCACTAGAAATTCAGCAACTCATTAGAGAAGAATATATGCTTTGCAAACATCAGGCCTTATGTAAAAACAAGGATGAGCAGGTGAGCTGGATCTCTTTAACCATATGTATTTTGTTTTATCTACCATGACTTGACAAACCTTTTGATGAATTTTGTTCATTTGGTTTCTGTAAACTTTCTCGAATGATTTGCTATTAAACTGTAGAGTTAGACGAATTTACAAACTCGCAAATTTGAATAATGCTGAGTACCTAACGTCAAAACTTAATTTTAATTATGAGATATTTTTATGTGAGTTACTTAGCATTTTGTAAGATTTCCAGGGTTTTCAGTGAAAACCTACTTTGGATTTGTCTTAATTTATCAGTCACACATGTTAAAGGTGCAGCATACTCTCAAAAAGTCTGTTCTGCATGCTTGAGGAAAAGTATATCTCTAATGGATAACGCGATGCTAATTATGTATACCAACTGAACTATTGAATAGTACTTTAAAATACCTAATTTCCTTCAAATTTTATCTCTCAGTTACAGAAGTGAGGTGTCCTTGATGTATCTGACTATGAATAATGTCAAAGTTACTATATAGCCTAATTCTACCTTCCATAAAATGGAATCAATGTTTAGGCAGTAGGCTTTTCAGTCGATTGGTTAGTAGTTCGTGCCATGATCCACCTAAGGAGGTGCAGATAGCCAAAAAGTATCAGTTATCTTCGCACAAAAGCTGTAACTCGCTGCCTACTTCATTAAAGCTCAAATGTTTCCTGAGTACACTTTGATTTTTCTTTATTCGAGAAAGTTCCTAGATAGTGATGAGTGAGTATGCGTTAATATCATGCCTTTTATCAGCGTAGCAGTCATCAAATACTTAATTGAATGAAGGCTAAAACCTATCTTTTCATATGAACACGAAACAACTCAGTTAATAGAATGCCCGTATGTAACACTGGTGTAATGCCGAAAAGTGTCTTATTAAGTGAAGTTCTTCAGGCTTAATATCACCCAGTTAACACAACCGTTTCCAATGAATAAACACAGACGACTTAAAAATCAACAGGCCTTTTTTATTGAAGTGTGAAGACGCTTTTCCCAAGTTTGCTACAATATACCACTAAGTATTAGAAATGTAATGATAAGCAGTTATCATCAAATAATAACATTTCTGCAAAAACCATAAAAATAATTTTTGAAGTGATAACTGTTCATTTTCTTACAAATCGTCTTTTGTTTGAACAGTTCGTCTGTTTAATATGTAACGAATACTCGAACTTTAAACAGTCAGCAATGTGATCTTGAACTGGCCTCATCGAATGTATTGTCAAAGCCATAAACAAGAATAATATAGTGAAAAACTGTCTCCTGTGTTCTGAATCATATTACTATTAATATCTCTTTCTGATACCGAACCACATTCAAACAAGCAAGGCTGACAAAATTCCACAAGTTAATAAAAATAAACACTTTGGAAAAATATACACTATTATTGAAAAATTAATAAGGATTCTTACCGCCAAATCGTCTCCAGATACTGTATTATGTAGACCTAAGTATTGATATTATCAAATCAGTGGAAAAATTCACGATACATACCTATTAAAAATAAGAAAATAAAGACTTTAGCCAACATGCTACTAATGGTTTACCACTCTGTACGATTACTAGTCATCGACAGTTAATTTAGCCTATTTATTTTGAAAAAAAGTACAACACTTAAGAAAATGCTTTTAAAAAAATGCTTAAAAACAATATACCACTTTATTCTTCAAAAGTTTCTCATTAAAATACGAATGCCTTAAAATTAAGAAATTTGATTTGATCAAAGTCTCTCAAGTATACCAAAGTACAGTAAGTATAAGGTATGCATTGACTGATATTAATTTAAAAAATCCTTCTCTTAATATACGTAGTTCAATGATCAATGTTTTTCGTGTTTTTAAATTCGGCTACATTTTTGTTGTAACTGATAAACAAGTGATTCATATTTCATTCAGTAACCATTATGCTTGCCTCACATTTTTGAACACTATGCTTAAAGCAAAATAATTCACGTAAATACCAAGTAATTCTAATACCATTATGAAAACACTCAAAAGTGGTGATTATTGGATAAAAATCTCAAACTTTTTTGCCATAATTAAGTCACAGTTTTGACTAAAGAATCTGTAACACCGTAACTGGTTTCAGTCATTACAAATCTAAATCTACCAAATCTGCAATTATGCAGGTGTTCAGACCATGAAACTAAAACATTTTTCAGTAAACCTTGTAATTAGTTGCCTAATATGAATTTTCCGACACTGTAACTTCGCGCTAAACATCCAACAAAATTATGAAGGTAACTCACCAGTATTAGTTATAACTATTTAAAGGGGGTTCCTGAAGAGTATATTATGAACGCTGATGAAGTAAATAACTCATAGAATAGCAGGCTATATTGGTTAATAGGAAAAGAGCAAGAAGCGCACTAGGAATAACAAAACGTGTTTGTTTGTTGTGTTGAAGGAAGTGAAGACGTCTGCTTGATGTCTAGTGTCAGTCAGATCCTGAGTGATTCGACTGCTTAGAGTGTTACTTCCTCCCAGTCGCTGGCTCATGGAAATATGTTAAGAAATTATAAGATACACCTTTCTCTATGTTCCTTCAATGTATCTGTTTCAGCAGCTACACGTGATTGAGAAACACACTTAGTGGATAACTTAGAAAGGGTACTAGTCAATTTTTGACAGGACTAAAGAGCATATTGTTTGGTAAACAAGAATTAACCTGGTTGCAAGGGAATCTCGAGCCAGTAGTGTATTCAGTCGTCTGTTAATAGTTCATACAATGTCATCACTGGGGAAACTGAAGTCAATGATTACAGGCTTTTAGCCAACTGCAACTTCCTTTGACACACTGTCTTCTGTTTTCCCATATCTTTTGATAAATACCTCTGCCTATGGAAAACTTGTTGGTTTCTTGGTTATTTGCAGTTCGGATTAATCTTAACTAGTATGGTGATAGGAATTCTATCAAACCCCAATAGGGATAATATCAGTTCATTATGTAACAAAAACTAAACTGTGCAGATAGAGAGAAATCATTTATTGAAAAACATCATGAGTGAAAACCCACCTGTGTTATAAAGTGAATAAAAAGGTGGAGAAAAATCAACCGCTACTCTTGTTACGTGAGTCCAAAATTACTCACGTATATGACCAAAAAGAGCATACTAAATTCACATGCTGAAAAATTTGCTCATAAAAGCCTACACACCAAGTAAACTAACATAAACTATGGTAGAGAAAAAAACTTATGTTCAGTAACCTTTTGAAGTGAAGACAGGAGTAAAACAAAGCTGCCTACTATCACCCATGATATTCTTGATTGTGGTCGACTGGATCATGCAACAAATAGTGAGAAGCTGTGAGAAGAGGGGGAACACTCTGGACCGCAGAAAAGAACCTAGAAGATCTGGATTTCGCCGATGACTTATGTCTAATGTCACATAAACTGGAAGATCTACAGGCGAAAACTAACAAGTTGACAGAAGAGGCAGGCAGGGCAGCAAAGACAGGATTTCAAGTGAATAAAGAGAAGACAGAGGTGAAGATACCCAACCAACAACAAGAACAACAAACTCCAATCACCATCAATGGGAGAAACTTAAAGGAAGTAGTCTCTTCCACCTATCTAGGCAGCACTGTCTCAACTACAGGTGGTGGCACAGACGAGGACGTCAAAGGCAGCCAGGATTGGAAAAGCAAGGGAGGCGTTCATTAACCTGAAACCAGTGTGGAGATCTGCTGCACTCAGCATGTGGAACAAGATGCGGATTTTCAACACCAACGTCAAGTCATTGCTCCTGTATGGTTCAGAGACTTGGCGCGTTATGAAAGGGATTTCCAACAAACTTGAGACATTCATCAACAACTGCCTAGGCTGGCTCGTATACTGAAGATCAGATGGCCAGAATAATAAGAATAAGCAACAAGGAACTCTGGCTGGTGACGAACCAACCAAGAAGCTATCGCTCAACAAATATGCAGAAGAAGGAAGTGGAGATGGATTGGAGTGGGCATACACTGAGAAGGCTGACTGGGGACATCATGCACCTGGCCAGTCGCTCGAGTGGAACCCAGATAGGAAGCGACAGGTTGGGCGTTCGAGGTGAGGGTGACATGGAGGAGATCGTGAGAGGAGGAGATGAAAGCTTGTGGGCAGTCGTGGTGACAGGTTCAGAAGATTGCAGAGAAGAGAGTGCACTGGAGACGTGCTACTGAAGCCTTGTGTTCCAGTAGAAACCCAAGGTGACAAGTAATAATAACAATAATTATATATATGTATATATGTACAAAGAGAGAGAGAGAATAGGCCAAGGATTTATCCTTGTTGAGAACCTTTTCTTCCGTTGTCATTTTAACAATGAGATATTCAAAACCTTTGATCCTCATAATCAGAGCCTCATGGTAAAATTTCCTTCGGTATTGATGCTTAAAACTTTGGAGCAATGATAGAATTAAACATGATGGCTTAGTCAAACCATTCTCTTTTCTCAAACACAAAATCAGATACAGTGATAGAACACAGGAAATTAACAAATATTTTCTTGTCTAGTAACCACAGCTAAGAGGCTTATCAACCAAGTTTTCAATTTGGTTAGATCGCTGTATTTAATATTGAACTGTTAGAGACATTAGGCAGGAATTCCTAACTTTCAGGCTATTAATAGCTGGCGATTCAAAGAGAGTGAGATGCAGGTCTTTCCCCAACCATTGAAAATTGAACAGCTCTAGAATTGTTTTTGACTTATTACTTCTAAGTTTTATCTGTTTGTTTGATTTAAATACTCAAGTAAACAGTAACGGAAAGCGTTTATTATTATTTGTCCCATGGGTTTCTGATGGAACGTAGGGCTTTAGTAGCACATCGGTAGTAAGCATTAAAACAATTTGTTTCTAAAAGAACAAATAAACGCAGGCTTATTGGTAGAACCACGTACTTGTACTATTTTATAAACTGAAATCGGTGCCAATTAGCTGAGTTTACGTGATTACCTGCATATCGAAAAGAGAAAATTACAGGACTGTGCTCGGAAAATCCCAGGTAAACGTCATTCAGAAAAATTCCACACGGTCAAAAAGTGTTTCATGCAAATTTTCAGCAAAAAGGATATTCAAAGTTTATATCTAAACACTAACGTCATGATGAATAAAAATGCGAAAATTAATAAAAAATCTATTTAGAAGTAGTATTCATCATGGACTGACATCAGTTGGGGAATACTACTTCTAAATTAAAAATACCCATTCATCTAAAAAATACATTATTCTATAGTGCTCATTAGTGACTTGCTTCCAGATGGATGTCAGGAAGTTCTGATGAGAAGCCGTGACCTGTGGGGTCAACCAGTCGGAAGTGAAGTGGATGCTAACTGAAGACCTTGGTTGACAGTCGCGCTATGTCGTGAATTGACAGATGTTAGAAATTGAGAACCGCCTCCAGCCGGCGCAGTGGCTGGATGGTAAACGCGGCCGCCGTGATAGCCGAAGGTTATGGGCTCGATCCCTAGCCGGGCCATGGGTCCGTCCTGACAAGGAGTCCCATACTATTACGAAACAGCTGTCTAGTGCTCCCAGGTTTCCAATGGTTCCCAAACTGATGTCAGTCAATGTTGAATACTTCTAAATAACCTTTAGACAGATGAAAAGAATGAGTTTTTGTTCTCTGGCTTCACAAGGGTTCAGTGTCCAAGCTACTGCCATAATTCTCATTTAAAGTGGAAATATGGTTAGTGTTCTATGTTGATTCTTGAGTGCAGGATATATTGAATGCGATAACCACACATCAGTAGGTATCACTAGCTCAATTTCGACGTCACCAACTGTTTCTCTTTCGAAAAAATGGGTAGACATATGTAGTTTTCTTAGATCTACTTTTTGAACCATATAGCTACTGTAAGCCTTGTCAATAGCTTCAGTGTTACTAGGGTCATGACTTCGTCCAAAGATTTACACTGCTGACCTGTTTAAGTACCCGTACATAACAAAAACTGTATTGTTTAGCCTATTATTGAACAAATGTCTTTTAAAAACTCCAGTTATAAGGTTTCCATTTCAGGTATGTAAGGAATTGACTGATTTCAAGACAGTATTCATCACAAAGTGGAGTAGTTTAGAGAACTGTTTAAAACCTTAAAGCACTGGACGACTCTTTCATCCTAACACAAAACTTCCCGGGAGTATGCAACCGTGACCCATCAAACATCGAACCCAGGGCATTCCAGTTCTTTGGTGAGTACATTAACAATGAGCTACCAGGTCAGAGACCAGTAGTTCGCACTTTGCTACTTCCATCACTTTATAATACAGCTCGGCAATCATCCAATGCAGTTGCTGAGTGCTTGCCGTCACGTCTAACTTGGTTTGCTCTACACGTCACGACGTCTGGCTAGAACTTTGGGAAACCAATAGAATCCCCACAAGTCCTGAAACTGAAATACTGTCTAGTGTCTATAAGTAACATGCTTTGAGATAAGATTTTCCGAAATTCTAATGCGAAGATGTGACTTGTGAGGCAAAATAAGTTAGACGTGAAGCATTAGCTGGTCGTTGAGCTGTATCACCGAATGATAGAAGTAGGAAATTTGAACCATTGGAATTTGACCCAGTGGTTTATTAGTGATCAACTCACCACGAAACTTGAAGGTCCTGGGTTCAATGTTTGATGAGGTCAGGAGTGGGCAATACTGAGGAGTTTTGTGATAGG